CCTGTATGGTCTTGATTTTCGCCGGGTCCATTTTAATGCCGTCGCGTGAGATGACGTGCTCCAAAAACTCCAACTCTTACTTAAAAAACTCGCACTTAGAGCCCTTGGTGATGAGTCGGCTCTCCTGCAGCCGCTTAAACACTGCATCCAGGTCGCGGAGGTGCTGCTCCGGTGTCTTGCTAAAAATGAGGATATCGTCCAAATAGACGATGACACACCGGTCTAGAAGATCCCGAAAAACTCTGTTCATGGTCAGTTGGAAAGTCCAGGGCGCGTTCGTGAGGCCGAAAGGCATCAGTGTAAATTCGTAACTCCCGTAGCGTGTGCGAAACGCAGTCTCGTGACAATCGTTGGCGAAGACTCGAATTTGGTGGTAACCGCCACGTAAGTCAATCTCCGAGAAATATCGAGCGCCGCGAAGTTGGTCGAGGAGGTCGTCGGTGCGTGGGATTGGGTAGCGAGACTTGATGGTGACCTAGTTCAGCGCGCGATAGTCGATACACATGCGAAGCCCGCCGTCCTTCTTCGGGGTGAACAGAATCGGTGCTGCGAAAGGAGATGTGCTGGCTCGAATGAACCCTTTCTCCAACAGTGCGTCAATTTGTCGTCGCAGCTCCTCGAGTTCCGGCTGGGTCAACGGCCACTGTGTCCGAACAGTTGGCTGCGCGCCAGGTTCCAGCTGGATTTTGTGGTCCTCAGGTCTCTCCGGTGGCAGTCCAGGTGGTAGGTCGTCGGGGAAGATGTCCGGGTACCTCTGAATCAGCTCCGCTAAATCCAGTGGTACAGCTGCACACAGCTTCTCGATGTCCTTTCCTTCGGTATGAACTGCCAACTCGCGTAAGCAAACAGCGAACAGTTGCGCGCCTCTGTTGAAGTGGCGAGCTATAGTGATATTTTTTACGCACGGGGCTTGGATGTAGTCAGGCGTCCATGCAGGGAGTTCAATTAGCCCCTCGTGCTTGTTGATGTTGCACGATCCTGTTGTCCAGTCGATGACGGGGTTGTGCCGTCGCAGCCAATCACGTCCCAGCAGTACGTCGCAGCCATCCAATGTTGTCGCGAGAAACTTCATGCTGAAGCCAAAATCGTCGCCGCATTCAATCCTGGCCGTCCGTGTTTCTTCCGTTATCGCCAGAGGCGTCCCATCCACAAGGCGGGCGTCAATTTCTGGCAGACACCTGTCAAGTTGCAGCTTGCATTTTTTGCGCTCGCCAAGTTGAAGAGGCTATGGCTGGCCCCTCCATCGACGAACATTTCTAAGTTATTTTTTAACACCTTGCCAGCGACCAGCACAGGGTGATCCACATGTGTATCCCCGTTATTCGGCCGAGTGCGATCGATTGCATGAATCGGAACCACGACTCGGTGGGGATGGTGGGGTTCGGGCGACGGAGCACAGTCAGTAAAGGGCTCGCTAATTACTGACTCTTCCCATTTCCCTGCTCCTTCCTGTCATTCCCCGTCAGCAGCGTTTTCTCGTGGCAATCTCTCATGTAGTGACCCGTCTTCCCACACCGGTAACACGGTCCCTTAGGAGGGTGGTCGGGTGTATGGACGGCGTTGATCGTTGCCCGATGGGTCTGGCCACGAAAGCGGTTTCCCTCTCGGGAAGCTGCTCTCGCGTACTGCATCAGCACATCTGTGGACTCCGCCAACTGTACTGCTGCAAGGAATGACGTCGGACGGCCCCTGCGAACCTCGTACTGTATCTCATATTTGAGGCCGCTGATATATTTATCCAACCGCTCGGCTTCCGACATGTCATCAACTTGGTCGGCGAGGCTCATAAATGACGCCGTGTAGTCTTGGATAGAAGCCATCTGCGACCATGCACGCAACTTCATGCGAGCTTGCTCCGAGGTGGATACGTGCTCGAAGCGATCTCGTAAGGCTGCACCCCACTCCTTCCACCTGCGTATCGTGGTCACTCCGAAGATCGATTGTGCCACTTGATTAGTCACTGTTGAGGTCCCGTCTGCTGCATGCGTCACACCTGTCGGCGTCCCTGTTTCCAAGGTTCGGCGCCACCACTCAAGCGCTGCACCTCGAAGAAGCGAAACTGCGTAATTAATACGCGTGGCGTCGTCATTAACTCCGGCTGGAGTAAAAAAGACCTCGACCCCGAACAGCCACCCTTTTACCGTAACGAGCTTGATCTTGATCGTTGTTACTGCAACTTGCGCTGCTGCCGCTCGCTGCCTGTCCTCCTCTTCGAAGTCACGTGTGAGCGCATCCAGCGGATTGCTCATCGCCTGACTGTTGCCCTCGCCTTCGTCCACAGGCGACTCCTGATGCGCTTCACCTCGCGTCTGGCGTAGCTCGGCGTTTTCCTCTCGCAGTGTTGTCACTTTTGCCATTAATGCCTTCATGCTCTCCTGCATTTCTGCCACTTGCACCATCATCCTGTTGACCGCCTCCTGATCCATGTGCCTAGCGCTTCGTCTGGTGGGCAATCGGGTCTCCGTGGCCTTCAGGCAAGTGAAAACACGAACTATCGGAGTCGGGCAGGATTGAATTAACAATCCCTGCAGCCAACCGTCGTGTAGTCACTAAACCAGCCACACCCTATGCCACCAAACTACCCTCGGAAAAGCGGGGTGAACTATGAAAGTAGCTCTGATACCAGGTGTTATGAGTTGTAAAAGAGAGTGCGCAGGTAAACGAATAACGAGGCTGTGACTGAATCAACTGCGAATACAATGAATGCACTGACTAATGTATGACTAGTCTAGCTAGGAGGAAACCTCGGACGAGCGAGGTTGGGTGCAGGTTTGGCGATGGGAATGCCGAAGGCGACGCGAGGAGCCTCGGCAGCGTTGAAATCGGCCGAACGTGCGAACTCCGAAAATCTGGTGGTACGCGAAGCAATCAACCCTGTTAAGGAATTCGGGAAAAATCCTTACAGTTTCCAGTTTCCGGGTAACTATGTGACCAGTTATTTTTCCATTTTTTTAGGAGGAAAATAACTGTTTCACGTCAGTTCCTGGGTGGTTTGAGAAAGTCGCAAGCTCCTTGTAAAAAACTTCGTCAAACCTCGGCTTCGTAGCTGTCCTTTGGCGACGTGCGCGTGGTACATCTGACTCATCTGGATCGCACGATCGTTACGGCAGGGCCTGTACCAGCGGGATGGTTGTTTCGTAGCGATCCTGCTATTTCGCCACTATTACCACGCCCTAAGGACGCGGTGAAAGTAGACAATCGATCGTCTGTCGCGATCGATGGGGGTACGGCTACCCTGTTTACAGACAAGTAGCCCCAGCTACAGTGACATTTTTTGACAAAATACAGTATCGTTCAGACAGGACGATTGATTGTCTATCAATCGCGGCATCGCTGGGAAGCAAATGCCGACGAACCGAGCATTACAGTGATGACTGATCCAAGTGCTTGCGACGTGAAAGTATTTCGCTAAGCGGGTGAAATGAGTCGCACAATTTTCACATCTCACAAGGCTAGAGTTTCGATGTCCGGGCTGCCCTGTGAGGTGCGAAATTCGCAATCGAGCGGGTATTTTTCCGCGCAAAAGTGATCCCGGCGAATTGAACACAAGTCTCAACAGATTTTTCTCGAACATCCCAGCGGAATTCGGTCGACGGACCCGAATTGCCAGTGTCGTCGAGGGGGGTCGTCGAAGCCTGGGCCGACGGGGCGGAGCACTGACGCGCGTGCGGGCCCGCCAGCCTGGCCCAGGGCTGGGCCGAGCACACGACCGCCGCCCCGCAGCCCCGTCCCGAACGTGAACAGCGGCCCACGTTACCGGGTGGGGTCGGCGAACTGGCGACACCTCGCGCGTGGGAAAATTACCCTTGCGCAAAGGCAGCCCACGCGCGCCACCTGCCTGCGAGGTCCTAGTAACCCATCGCGGCCTGCCCGGACGGGCAGGCGAGGGCCGGGCGAAATGTCGGGGCCCCCTCGGGACGCTCGACAATTTCGCGACCCGTTGCGGCGACGCCACGTGTTCGCTCGTGGTTTCGCATCGGGCGCATGCGATATTTTGTCGTTGCGAGCGAAAAAAAAAAGGCCGCGACGCGGACAACGAGGTTCGTTACCCACTACGAAATCGACACGTGTTGTGCGAATGCACGCTCATCGCGCACGCGATATTGCGTCCCCTCGCCGACCTGGGACATTGGACGCGAGGTCGACGCCCTGCCGAAGCGGAGTCGGACCACCTGTTCCACTTGCGCATGCGCCCTCAGAGCCCTGCCGAGCCAGGCCCCACACCCTTGGGCGACGCTGAACGGGTATGCGGTGGGCCACCGTCTCCTTTTCTTTGTGGATGGTGGCCTCGCTCTCCATTTTCCGCATCTCGTTTCGCTCCTCCTCTTCCTTTTTTCCTCCTTTCGTTGCTCTGTGCGGCTATCGTGATATCGCTTCCCCTTAGTCGGTATGGACCCTAGCCCCGACCCCGATAACTCGGCGCCGACTTCGGCTGACTTCCCTCTTCGTCACCAAATGGGTCCTGGTCTCAGCTTCACTTTAGAGTGGGAAGACTTCTTAGTTCTTCGCAACCACAAGATAGAGTTCAACGACGGATGTTTGGATTTCGGCATCAGGTACGACTCGAGTAGTCGGCGCCGACTTAACTAGGTCCGGTGTCCACGCAGTGGCCTTCTGATTTACGTCGACGGGCGCGGTATTAGGCATAGACCCCCTCCAGGAACGCCGACCACCTTAGGAGTCGTCGACCACACGTAGTCGCCCTCTGTACTTTTCGGCGTTTGCTCAACCGCCCTTGTATGAACCTCCTTGCCCAATCGTGCCGTCAGGTTCGCGTGGTCCCGACTTGGGATCGAGAACCAGCGTTTGTGGGTTCTCGACGTCGGCACGCTTCGATCGGCCATGCGGCTGGCCGACCATTCATGCTTTGCTGCGGTTTTCGACGCCGACATCGCCGCTATCCCGTTAAGAACGATGTGAGCTGTTTCACCTTTGATCAGTTGTCGTTGTTTAGTGTCGCGACATCGCGTGGTGATGTGATCGACGTCGTCGCGAATTGCATGTGCAGCCTCGGTGTGCTTCCAGGAACGCACTGCAGCGTCATTGCCATCCTATACCCTGGAGATCTGTTGAAGGCTGAGGGACAGGTGTGCAGGACCTCAATCCGGCACATCAACCCGCAGACCGGTAAAGGGTATCACCGCGACGAGGCCGCTCGCGTGCTAAAGTAAGTGCTGAATTGTCGTCAATGACCCGCTTGTTAGTCGGCGACCCAGGGTATCACACGCTGACCGCCTCCCCCCACCGCGGTGCTTCAGGTTCTTCCGCACGGCTGTCCTGGCCGAGCTGGGGCGTCCCGGTAGGATGTGGGACTGGGCGCCGCCATCACAAGCAGTGGTGGAGGTCAGGCTGGCCGACTGCAACCACCCTATCCGCGATGTGAGTTGCAAGGGGGGGGTGCCCGTTTCTGAACGCTCCGCTCATCATGTTCCGTGCTTGTATGCAGAAAGTGCCGGGCACAGTGTCGGACGGGCATGTCGGTGCCGGCGTGCTTTCCGCGACGTCGTTCGGGTGGGTAGCAAAACAGATCGACCATCTGACAGGCGAGAAGGGTCGTCGTGGGGTGAGCATCGAGAGCATCGGGATGAAGATGCTGAAGGCTTTGCGCGACAGCATGGTTGAGTACGTCGGCAAGGTCATTGCCGTGAAACGCACCGCGACGCCGACTTCTCAAGCCGCCGGACCCGCCGACAATGCCATAGATGACGACGTCGCGGAAGGACAGAAGGCGCCCCAAGGTGCAGTTGCCGCCCAGCATCATGGGAACGCGAGGGTGCATGGGGAAGGTGGAAACGGTGGAGGAGGCGACGCAGAGGCAGGTGCAGGAAGGTCGGAAACGGAGAAGTCGTCGTCGGAGTCGGAGTCGGAGTCGGAGTCGGAGGAGGAAGACGAGGCGGTGAAGCGTAAGGACGAGGAGGAGTATGAGGAGGAGGAGGAGGAGAATAAGGACGAGAATGGTGAGAAGTGGGAGGGAGGGAAGGATGAGGAGGGGGGGGATGAAGAGGTGGAGTTCGTGGTGGAGTATGTAGAGGGTACGGTTGAGGCGGGAGCGGCGGAAGAGGCGGTGGGGTCGGCAGATCAGGGGAATGAGGAAGAGAAGGATGACGGCGCGGGAAATGCTACGAGGTCGGCAGATGTGGGGAAGGAGAAGGGCGAGGTCGGCGTGGAGGCACCTGGAAATGGCCAGGATGAGGCGGCCTGCGAAGGAGGTGGGAAGGTGTCGGTCGACGCCGGCGAAGGGCCGAACAACACGGGCGAGCAGGAGGCCGGGGAACCACCAAGTCGAGTCCCCGTAACCCCCTTGCGGCTACCAGCGCGCCTGCCGGCCAGTCAGGTGCGAACAAAGATGGCGAGGCTGCTCCAGCTCCAGCAGCCCCGACTGCCGCCAAGGTTGTCGCGAAGGTTGCTTCGGCTAAGGGTGATGCCATGGCATCAGCTAAGGCCCCCCCTGGTGCTACCGCGCTCAGAGAGATGCTCCGCCGCATGGAGGCACATAGCAGGGACGTGCAGCAGCATCCCGTGGTCGACGCCGGCCTTCCTGGAACAGCACGCCGCTCCGTCACTACGCAGGTTGCCGGCAAGTCGTCCGGTGCCCCACCTGCCGCGCCTCCGGTGGCCGCCCCACCGCCTGCGGACCCCAAGTCCGATTTTCTTCGCGCCCATTTAGGCGCACGCAAAGCAACTGCTCCGTCAGTGACCCTGCCGGAACTCGGCAAAAGCGCGACGCCGATGTCGGTAAACGCAACCGCACCCACACCAGGTGCATCTGTGGTCAATGTGGCGGCGGAGAAGGGAGTGAGTGCAGCGCTCGCCACCGGCGGCCGCGCAGACAAGCATGCCGACCTCGCTGTCGTCATGGCCCATTTTGAGGCAGCAAAGCGCCCCGAGCACGCCCCTGTTATGGCCATCATGGACACGGCGCATGTGGTGCCGTCGGCGACCCACGGAGGGGGTTCGACGGAGCAGACGGCCGCAACGGCTGCTGTCGCCGAGATAAATGCTGGACGGAAGGAAAAGGACGACAACGGGAAAGGGAAGGCGGTCTCTCAGAGGAGCACGCGGGCGATGACTGCGGGGAAGTTGACGTCGGAAGAGAAAGGAAAGAAGGCGGAAGGGGAGAAGGACAAGACGGGCGGCAAGGGTAAGCCGGCGAAGAAGAAGGAGAAGGCGGAGGAGGAGGACGAGGAGGGCGGCGAGGGAGATAAAGAGCATGGACGCAGGGGTCATGGCATCCGCCGAGACAAGGCTGGCGACGGGCAAGGGTGAGTGGGCGAAATTAAGGTACACGGACAGAATCGGTACATCGGCAAGTCGAGGGAGAAGATGGAGCTGGCCTACGAGCACGCGATTGCGTTCGTCGTCTACGACGGCTACGTGAGCAAGGTGCTCATGAAGGAGCTCACCGTCTTGAACCCGGGGGAGTTGGATAAATGGAAGGAGGTGTGGGCGGAGGTGAAGTTGTTGCCCACTGGGATGTGGACGGTGATGCGGGCCAGAGGCTTGTGCCATCCGAGAGCAAGGTAAGACGGATACTGACGTGCCAAGTTCTGCCGACCAAGTTGGTGTCAAAACGCTGAAGTCCTGTCGTTTTAATGTGTTTGCGCGGCAGGTTCGACGATATACTCGGCAGGTACCGTGGGTACGCGAGTTCGGGTGTTGCGCTTCATGACGTGCTCTGGCCGGCGATCTGGTTCCCCATCATCGAGGACACGGAGGAAGGCAAGGAAGAGACGACCGCTCTCTTGTCGGCGATGGTAAATCGCGTGTCGATGTGCGCGGCGTATGGGAAGGTCGCGGCGAGCGCGGCGTTTGGGAAGGTCGATGCGAGCGTGGAGGGGAAGGCGGACGAGAAGGTGGAGATGGGGGCCCAGGCGTTAGCGGCATCGGCATGCGCCATCTGGTGCTTCTTGGAGACGGGGGCGTCGGTGCTCGGTGCTGTGGGCGAAGGGAAGGCGGCGGCGATGGTGGCAGGTGCGGGGGAGGCGAGGGCCAATGACTTCAAGGAGGTGATGCACGCGGTGATCGACATAGCACGCAGCAGGCAGGCTCCCGCTGGGGAGGTTGCACATAACGTCGCGCCATCGGTGCAGAGCCAGGCAGTTGCCAGGGCCTTCGCGAAGGGAGTTGAGGAAGTCGAGGCCGACATGATCGCAAGAGCGACGGTCGAGACCTTGGCGTTCTGGGGAATGTGCCCCGTCGCCGGGCCCAAGCTCAAAGCGCAGGGCATCGATGTGCCGTGTGACGCGAGGATGGAGTACCATATGGATCACAGGGGGAGGAAGGGGGAGAAGGTCAAGCAGAGCAAGGGCAGCAGCAAGAGGAAGAAGAGCAAGCAGGGCATGGGCAGTACGGATGCGTAGATGGCGGGCTGCGGTGTGCATGGCACTATTGTATGGTTGGTGCCGACGGCCAAGTTATTCTAATGACTTTTGTATCGTAGGGCACGAATATTTTTCCGTTTTTTAGTAAATCACTGTCCACATTGAAACTTGCTAGCCGACTTTGAACGATGCGCCTTGTCGGCGAATGTGTCGACATCTAAAGGAACATCCTACTCGGCGAGCAGCGATGATAGACGGGGTAGACACATGCTATTCCGCGACGAGATATGTCGGCGAATATGTCGACGCCCTATCGACATGCAATCGTGCGGAACGTCGACATGAATAAGGCACAATGAATTGCACACACATGGTGGCGACTATGTCGGAGTCCGACATATCTGGTTCGGATGTATGTGTTTGATCATGTATGTTCGTGTTGCATCACCATCAACAAGTACAATGGGAACACATATGTTGCTAAATTAGGGCATCAACCTACGCTAAAACACATATGCACCGAGGATGTTCATGCCGACTTCTTGCGCTTTGACGGAGGACGCTGCGCAGGTGCGGTCTGCTTGGCCAAGTCGGCTACGGTCTTCGGCATCTGCTCCTCCCAGGTATCTGGAAACAGGCGGTCGACCCACGTCGTCGGCTTCAGCTCGAGCGCCACCAGCGCACAGGCGAGGCGTAGCTTCGAGACCACCTTGGGGCCAAGCCCCTTGACGCCCATGCCAGGCTCCTTGGACATCGTCGGTGCCGTCTCCGGGTTGAGCACCGTGAGGGCATCGCAGAAGGTCCCAATGCCCGGTGCCGCGATCGTGTTCAGTACATCGACCACGGCTTCGGTGTCGGCATCGCCGTCGCTCGCGCGTAGCTGGCGCACCGCATCCATGGCCTTCAGCATGCGGCGCACCCTCATGTTGAGTGCACCATGGGTCGCGCCTTTGAGGAGGGTGTGGCGGTCGATGAACCCCGGCTCGGCGACCCTGTCGCAAAGACGACGGGTGTCATTGGCGGTGGCGGAGTTCCAGAGGCGCCAAGCGTCCCGCACGGTCTTTGAATCCCGCCACGGTTGCACCACGTTGAGCTCGTAACTGGCCTCCTCTGCCGTCTGGGGGGGTGGCGGGGGTTTCCCATCATCTCTCTTGGCTCCGGTCCCCGTGTTGGCCGAATCCGCGGAGCCACCTTCGCCCGGAGTTTGATCGGTAGCCGACGGCGGCGCCTCCGGCATCCTCCGGGCTTCTGACACACGGAGTGCCTCGGTGAGTCGAGCAAGCTCGGAGGTGAGCGACGCGATGGTGTCGTTTTGCTTCTCGATCGTCTCCTGAAAGCCTAGCTTCTCGAGCGCCGAGCGCTCGATCTCCTTCTTCAGCGCCTCCTTGAGGGACATGTTGTGATACTGGGTGTCCATGCGCACGGATATTTCCTGCAATGTTGAGTGTGCGGAATGGCGACAAGAGGTTAGAATTAATTCACCGGCTAAAATCCAACGACGCCGACATGGTCGGCAACTCACCTCCGGTTGTATCTGAGTCGGGTCCCGGCGCTTTTTGATCGTATCGGTGTCGACCGACTCGACCCTTTTCGCCCAGTGCTGGAAGAGGGCAATCCTGCAGAGCTTGGAACCTTGGACGTACGGGTGCCACGGTGTGCGGACGAGCTTCACCGCGAGGTCCTCGGCGACGATTCGTCGGAACATCACGAGGGTGCACAAGAAGTGCACTGCGGCTGCAGCGGCGTCGCTCCCGTTGACGGCACGCGTCTCCGCCTGCAAGTCGGAAAGTGGCGTGGGTTAGTAGGGAGTTGGGCAGCCAACTAGGCCACGACGACTGAAAAACATTGTCGGCGTCGCGTGACATACATCGCGCAGCATAGCATCCACGCCGGGGAAGATGTGCTCGGCGAGGAGGTCCAGGAGTTTGTCGGAGGGCTCGACCCTGCTGCGCCCCAAGAAGTAGTCTTGCTTGAGTCCCGAGTAGCCGGCCTTCCGCATCACCACCCCAACGGGAATGGCCGTGATGTACGCACGCGTCATCTTGTCGAGAGCCCAGTGTCCCAGCTCGGCGATCTCGGCGCGCGGCGTCCCTCCGATGGCTAACTCCTGCGCACCTCCGGCGCGGGCGGCGTGCACGTTCCTTTTGCAGAACACCTTGTTGGTCGTCCACACCTGCCGAGTCCAACGTTGGTGGGTGGCGGCGGAGAGCTCCTCCTGGTCCTTGTCGTTTCTGGCGAAGAAGAGATGCTTCTTGTACCAGCGTTCGCGTTCTGTGATGTCAAGCGGCGAAAGAAAGTCGGTGCCGGAGAACTGACCGGTCTGGTCGAGGATGAAGTGCAGCCACAGGCCGGTCTCGCCGACGGCGCACAGCTCCGCTTCCAGGTGTCGCGCAGCGTAGCTCTGCTGAAGACGGGCATCCTTGGAAGTCTTCGAGTTACGCGCGGCGATCACCATGACGACCGGCTGGCTATCCGGGTTCACCTCCGAGGTGCTCGCCAGGTGGTACAAGAAGATGTCGGGGAGCGTGATCTCGCGGATGCTGCCGCCGCGCAGGAGAGTGTGGTGGGAGAGTAGCGTGAGCACCTTGATGAGCAGGAATCGCCACAGCGTCTGCGACGGAGTGGTAGCCCGCGGGTTCCACGCCGCCGCCGCCCATGTCGGCAGCACCCTCATCATGATCTGGCGGAAGTGCTCGGCGGTGTAGGTATCGCCGATGGTGCCGCGTCGACGGTCGGCGCAGTTCCTGAACGCAAATCGGCGGGGAAAATCTGTTAGACTGCGTCGACTTCACAGTGCACAGTGATATATAATAAGGTTGTCGACCAACTTACTTGAGGTCCCTCTCGTTCTTGTGGCGGACGTTGAACCGCACCTCCGATCTCACCACCGAGATCTCCCTCATGAGGCCCAGCTCCTTCTCTCGGTACAGCGTCGCCTCCACCCTCGCCGCCATCTGGCATGCCTTTATCCGGCCGAGGATCGTGTGCACAGTTGTCGACCTCACAGGCCCCGTTCGCGTGGCATTGTTCTCCTCCCCGGGCTGGTCAACAATGAGGTTACACTCACGGCTCATTTGCTTCACGTAGGCGCGCAGCCGGGTTTCGGTGACCCTAGGGCCGTGCAGCCAGATGTACTGTCGGCGGACCACTTTCTCGTTGCACCAATCCTCTTTCTTGTTGTCGCGGATGTAGTGGCCGATCTCGTCGACGTGCCTAAGTCGTTGCTCATGGGGTAGCTTGTCGCGTAGCTGCTTCAGCATCTTCGCCGCCCACTTCTTGTAGTGGTAGATGAACGCGGTGTACAGCCTGAGCGTGCTATTCTTCTCCAAGCATTGTAGGTGTCATAGGGCGTCCATTATGAGCACGTCAATGCTGGAGTACACCATGTCGTCCACTACAAAGTCCGTCGCCTTCCACCCTTCACGCGGCACCGACATGTGCTGATCGTCCTCCTTCTCGTCCGCTTCGAGCATGTCACGTATGTATTCAAATTCCCGCCTAAGGCGTTCTTCCAAGGTGCGCGGATTCGTGCTACGCGGAGGACGGTCGTCGACTTCGTCGTCGCTCTCTTCCTCGTCCTCCTCGTCGTTATCACCTTGGTTTTCCGAGCCGGCGGGCACCGACGAAGGTCCAGTCTGCCCATCTGCCGTCGGTGTCGACTTCTTCGTAAACTCCCCAATTGGCGGATTCGGTATGTCCTTGGTGTACTCCCCTTCGGGAATCTGAGTAAGTTTGTCAAGATCGTAAAGCAACTTCAGCGTCTCTACGGGGGCAGAGGACGGACTGTGGTCGGTTGGGGTACCAACGTCGGGCATGTCGACGTCGTCCATGACCGCTCGTATGCTCTACCGCCGGCCGTGGAAGAGGGAAAGATTGGTCAACCAGAGATGGTACTGATTCACGGGTGCGGTGTACGCCCTAATCGTCCTGCGGCGGTCTTCCTCGAATTCCCTCTCAAGTGCTTCTAACTCAGCGTCGACCTCGAGTCGTTCCAGTTGCGCTTTGATGTCGTCGTCTACCGAATCGGCGGGGGGTGGGATAAGTTGTTGTGGCTGTTGGGCACTAGCCCTTCCTCTGGCCATGCGTCGCCGACTCGGTAAGGTTGGGAGATGCTATCATCGCCCTGATCTATCGTCGTCGACTTTCCTAGATGACGACCTAGAACCTAGTAAGGCGAAGTCGACGATGGTCGACCCCAACACCGACCTATGGCAGTCTATTCCAGGTCGTCGCCTTTGTGCCGCCGCTCGGTCGTCTCGGCCGTCGAGTAACCTACACCCGCAGAGATGGCGAGGGTCCTGTGAACAAAACGAAGTGCTAGATGGTGCACAGGAGCATGAGAGAAACATGAAGCTGAACCGGCAGAATGAGAGTGTTGTGCGTGGTCAAGGAGGGGTATGGTTGCGAGCCACTGCGCACCTGCCGCGCTCCACGCAGCCCTCTTTGCAAGCGCCGCTGTGCACGTGCATGACGTGTCACGATCGATGCATGTCTAGTGTCACGCCGCTCTGCGCTCAACGGCACTCCCGCCGGTGCCTTGCCACGGTGGAATTCACGTGCGCCACGTGCAATAGGCCAATCACCTAGTTCCACTCTCCCGAAATGCCGGAGCGTCATGCTCTCCCGCGCAAGCCTCATCGACCTGCGAGTAGGCGCGTGGCCGGAGGCTTGGTCGACGCCGACATTCCGTGACTCTGGGGCTCTCTTCGCCTATGCATTGTTTGGTCCGCACAGAACCATCCACGTGGGTCGTGCTGCTGCGGTTGGATGTTCGGGCGACACCGACATCTCAATACCCCGCGTTCTCTGGCTATCTAGGTGGTGGACACATGCCAGTCGTCTTTCGCCGCGTGGACGATGGTTACAAGTTTCGCGCACAGCGAAATATACCCGGTGGTGCGAAGCGGGGCCACGTCGGCGCCGTCGTGGCACCTCCCGATTGTCAGGCTCGATCTCGGCCGTCCCTACTAAGCCACGTGGCAGTAACCGCGGCTCGGCGCACAACGTGTCGAGCTGTGGTTCAGGGTCCGCTGAGGTATCCTTCTCGGGTTTCTCTCAGCGAAACCCGAGGTCGTCAGATAGTCGACAATCCCGAGGGGTTCAGAGCCTCAGAGGACTGCCAGGTCGCCCCAGTTTGCCACTCGCAAGTCGTCAGGAGCTCGTCAATCCCGAGGGGGTTCGTTGTCCTATCGCAACCGCGAAATTGGGCGGCAGGTTTCGTCGGCTGAGGTATACCATCCCGATCGTTACAACGCCGGGTGTGCATCGTTTCACCGATCAATTCCCCAAAGCGATTGTGAAAATCGATATTCTCTCACGATCCTCCGAACGGTCACTTTTACCGCGTCCTAAATCGCTGACCTTCTGAGGTGTTTGCTCGACGCGGTTCTCCCAGCATCAGACACAGTAGGAAATTAATAGGAGTCTCGTCGAATAAGGCTTATTTTAGAAGCCTGAACACGACGAAGGCATCGGTGCTAATAAATAAGCGCATCGGTACATACGTAGGCTAACAAAATTAATTTAGACATGTGCCTGATCCACTTTGTATCTTAGGTTTCTTCACCCTGTCCCGCCGTTTTTCAAGGCCCCTGATTTCGTTGGCGCGTCGCAAGCGTGTCGCTTAAGTTGTCGTAGGCTTTTCGCACGCCGTCGCCATGTCGCAGCTGTCCGTCGTGCTCGCGACGGCGGGTTACGACCACACTATCCGATTCTGGGAAGCCACGTCCGGTCAATGTTACCGCACGATTCAGTACGCCGAATCAGTACGTTAAGCTAGTACCAGGGACATGCGAACTGCACGGTATCGAAGCACAGTTTTCGTTAACCCTCAAGGTGAAGCTTGCTGTTTTCCAGCAATGTGCAGCGAGCACCCATTAATACTCATCCGCAATCCTCCATCTGCATCTCCCCACCTGTAGCCCCCCATATCCACCCTAATGGCGCACCAGGGAAGCAAGTGATCCGCATGAGGGCCCCCCCACCTTCACCCCGCCACCTGCACATCACTCATCTGTCCCTCCCCCACACATTCAATCTCGCTCCTGTCCCTCCCCCACACATTCAATCTCGCTCCTGTCCCTCCCCCACACATTCACTCACGCTCCTGTCCCTCCCCCACACATTCAATCTCTCTCCTGTCCCTCCCCCACACATTCAATCTCGCTCCTGTCCCTCCCCCACACATTCAATCTCGCTCCTGTCCCTCCCCCACACATTCAATCTCTCTCCTGTCCCTCCCCCACACATTCAATCTCGCTCCTGTCCCTCCCCCACACATTCAATCTCGCTCCTGTCCCTCCCCCACACACTCACTCCCGTTCCTGTCCCTCCCCCACACATTCAATCTCGCTCCTGTCCCTCCCCCACACATTCAATCTCGCTCCTGTCCCTCCCCCACACATTCAATCTCGCTCCTGTCCCTCCCCCACACATTCACTCTCGCTCCTGTCCCTCCCCCACACATTCACTCTCGCTCCTGTCCCTTCCCCCACACATTCAATCTCGCTCCTGTCCCTCCCCCACACATTCAATCTCGCTCCTGTCCCTCCCCCACACATTCACTCTCGCTCCTGTCCCTCCCCCACACATTCAATCTCTCTCCTGTCCCTCCCCCACACATTCAATCTTGCTCCTGTCCCTCCCCCACACATTCAGTCTCGCTCCTGTCCCTCCCCCATACATTCAATCTCGCTCCTGTCCCTCCCCCACACATTCAATCTGGCTCCTGTCCCTCCCCCACACATTCAATCTCGCTCCTGTCCCTCCCCCACACATTCAATCTCGCTCCTGTCCCTCCCCCACACACTCACTCCCGTTCCTCTCCCTCCCCCACACATTCAATCTCGCTCCTGTCCCTCCCCCACCCATGGCTCCAGAGCAGCACATGTCAGACAACAGGTTCCAAGAACCTACGTTGCTAAATACGAGTACCGAGTATAATACGTTAGTGTATTACACGCTTGGTATATACGCGGTACGCCAAGGCTGGCGTACTGCTGATACGCAAAAATACGCTGGCGGGCAGCTAAAACTTTTTTTCCCGGGCAGGTATAAAAAAACCTGTTTCAGGGGGGGTTCAGGCCGACAACAACGCATGTCAATATTTTATTTCATAAATATCCAGAAATACGTAGTTCATCCACATAATCCCCACCCTCTAGCGAGCTTCCCCACAGCCTATTTCCTTGCGGGGCTTTTCCACCACCACCCCTTCCCCATACTCATCCGCCAGCACTGCATCATCTCCTTCCCCCCCCAGCAGGTCATCCTCCTCCTCCTCGTCCATGTTGTAGCCGCGGGGGATAGGGGCATCCGGGATGTTCCCGGGCACAACCGTGCTGGCCCCGTCCTTGTTGTACCAATTGCGCACAACGTTCCAGTTGTGCGCAATGTAAACCAGGTCCGCACACTTGGCGGACCCGAGGCGGTTGCGGCGGGCGGTGTGGACGCCTTCCCACTGCGCCCAGCCACGTTCGCATGAAGAAGCCGAGACGGGCTGAGTGAGAATCCGGCATGCAAGGGTGGCAAGCTCAGGGTACTCGGTGCTGTGCCACAACCACCACTGCAGCATGCTCATCTCCCCTTTCTTCACTGCCTCCCTTGCAGCTATGGCGCTCAGCTTGCCAAAACTGCCCTCCAAGTTGATGTAGGCCAGCAATGCCTCCTGCAGCACAAGGGAGGCGCGGCGAGGGGCACCATCCTTGCCGCGCCTGAAGGTGACGTGGTCATAGTGGCGCTCGATGTAGTCCTTGAACACCCTCGTGCACTCCACATCGTTCCTGAAAATTCCCTCCTCCTGGTTGGTCGGATTCAAGATCCGGCCAACCACATGCATGGGGCAGGCAAGGGAGTTGTCCCACCTGTCCTTCACAATCTTGGTGATGTCTGCCCTCTCTGTCCGAGTCAAGAAGTCGCCTGAAGCGTCGAGCTTGTCATTGATGTCCTCGGTAAGATGTAGCATAATGTCATACAGCTTACCCATCATGCCTTTCGCGGAAGAGTCCGTGGCCCGCATGGCCTTGAATGGCACCGCCATGAGAGAGGAAAAGAACTCCGCCACCCCCCACCACTCCTCATCCATCACAGCAGCCCTGAATTTCTCGGCTGCAGTCTTCCTATCCTTGTCCCCCGCTGCCCACACCTTCCACTCGTTGCTGAGCACCATCGCCGCCAGCCCACTCCTCACCTCACATAGCCGGGCCATGGCTATGTATTGTGTCCCGAACCTGGTTCCCGCAGGCTTGAGCACCTGCTTCCCCCCCACTTTCTTCATACAGGCACGTGTGAAGTGGTGGTTGCGCACGAAGGTAATCATCTCCCCTCCTTTCTCCACAAGCCCCTTCGCCCATCCCATTTTGCCCACATCTTCCATTAACAGGTCCAGGACATGCGTGGCACATGGCACATGCTCAATGTGCGGCCATGTGCTCGCAATCTTCCGCGCTGCCGATGCATAGTTGCTGCCGCCATCGATGCAGACCGCCACCACATTCTCCGGCCCCACCTTATCAATGACGGGGCGGAGAAGGCTGGCGATGTACCCCCCCGTCTTCGACTCCATGTTGCAGTCCACGGCCTGCTCGAAAACTGCGCCGGAGTCGTTGACAAGGAGTATGTTGGCCTGCGGGCGGCCACAACGGTCAGTCATCATGTCCGACGACACGGTGACACCGTCCCGCTTCCAGCTCGCGGCAACGGGGGCGAGCGCTGCCTCCATTTTCTACCGCACTTTCTTCAAGCCCGCCCCTCCAACGTAGCCCCTCTTGGGGGGAACATACCCCAGTCCCGCGCGCGCGAAGCACTGGACCGCGTAGCGGAAGACCGGATCATCCACGATGCGCTCTGGAAGCTTCAGCGCCGAGATCATTAGGCAAAGCGCGTTATCCGCGTCCTCCTTGGCGCACGTTGCCTCGTTGCCGAAGAATTCTGTTATCTTCCCCTTCTTCTCCGCACAAGCAGTGACCGCGCCCAGCACGGAGTCGAGTGCTGCAGCAAGTGCCCCTCGTTTCATGCTCTTGTTTTCCTCCTTGTTTTCGTACATGGCACACACTTCTTCACGGACTTTCGGGGACACGTCCTTGCAAAGCCTGACAGGGCGTCCATCTTGCCCTTTCCATTTGGCGAGGTGAACTGCGCAGCGAGTGGTTCCGCCCTCAAACTTGAAGCCACAAAACTTACAAAGCTTGGGATTGCCTTTGGTGTAGGGGGGAATAAGAAAATGTTTCAGAATGGGGTTCAAAAGGCCAGCCTCAACAGGCTGCGTGTTGATCGCACTACTAGACGCGTGACCAGAAGCTACATTGCTCGTCGCGCTAGGAGGAGTGGAGTTCGACGCCATGGGGCGCGACTAAGGAACGGTAAACTGCTTGAGGAAAACGGGAGATCAGAGCTCGGGAATGAAATTGAGGAGAGAAACGAATGAAGGATAGGAAGGCGTCAACGAGTAAATACTCACATGACGTGCTGGACATTTGAGAGGGGTGGTTGGATATAAGAGGTTTGGTGGGGTGGTGTGTGGTTGGGGTGGTGGGAGGTTTGGATTCTGAAATTTGAATTTCAGACGTGGGTTGGGCGATGTGCTTGGTCGCGTAACCAGTCGCGAAGCCCTAATAACCGTCGCAAATTTTTTTCAATTTCGATTTTTTTTTTTTCGCCGGGCTGCCCGCGCGTTTTTTCACGAATTCGAAGCGTATTAGCGTACCACGTACATACGCAATCGTATATATGTGGTACGCCACCCTACCCAGAGCGTATTTGGCAGCGTAGCCAAGAACCATCCCCCCCCCCGCACCCGCCCCTCCCCTTCCCCGGCCTCCCACATTCACCCCCCCGTTGTCCTCCGCACGTCTCCTTCCCCCGGGTGCACCAGAGCAGCAGGTGAATCGCATGGAGGTCATGCCAGACAAGAGGTTCCGATAACGGCTCCCCGCACGCACCCATTCCCCCCCTCCCCGCCCTCCCACATTTACCCCCCGTTCGTCCCCACATCTCCCCCCCCCCCCCATTGCACCAGGGCAGCAGGTGAACCGCATGGAGATCATGCCGGACTAGAGGTTCGACCGTCGCCCCTTGCCCATCTGCATCCCCCTATCTCCGCTCATCACCCATCTGCACCGATTGCACCAGCACAGCAGGTGAACCGCATGGAGATCATGCCGGACAAGAGGTTCGATAACCATCACCTTCCACATTCACCCCGCACCTGCACCGCCCCATCCCCTACTCTCCTCCCTCCACCCCTCTCCCCCCGCCCCCCCCCCCCCCCCCTGCACCAGCACAGCAGGTGAACCGCATGGAGATCATGCCGGATAAGAGGTTCCTGGCGGCTGCAGGCAACCCGCACATCCGCCTCTTCCAAATCGACTCTAACCAGCCACAGCCGGTATGTATCAGCACCGTGCCATGCCATGCCATGCCATGCCACGCCATGCCATGCCATGCCACATGCCATACCATGCGCTGCACGGTGTTGCGACACCGTTGCAATAGCTGCTGCTGCTGCTGCCAACTCCCACTAGCCAGCCAGCCACAGCTGGTATGCGTTGTCATGGGCTGCTTTGTTGCAAGGAATCGTATGCAGCATCAACCATGCATGGATGAATGTACAGCAGATTGCACTCAGCACAGCACCATGTATGTTGATGCCTCCCACCTGTCCTCTCTCGCTCACCCCGCACCAGGTGATGAGTTACGACGGGCACACCAAAAATGTAACTGCGGTGAGCTTTCAGTGCGTATTACCTCAATCCATCCCCCATTCCCTCTGCCACAACCCTTTCCTCCCCTCTCTCTCTCACCCCCCACCTCTCACAGGTGATGAGCTACGACGGGCACACCAACAACGTGACAGCCGTGGGCTTTCAGTGCTGAGTGCCTCATCCCCTACGCCTTTCCCTCTGCCATAACTCTTCCTCCACCCCCCCCATGCCACCAGTCGTCCCGTCTTCTTCCCCCCCCCCCCGCCCCGCACCAGGTGATGGCCATGGGCTTTCCGTGCGCATTACCCCAACCCCTTCGCACTACTCCTCTTGCCCCCCTCGCCTTGCCCCCCTCCAGTTGATGAGCTACAGCGGCCACACCAACGAGGCAGCAGTGGGATTTCAGTGCGCATTACCCCAACCCCTCTGCCACAACCTCTCCTTTCTCCCTCCACACCACCCCTCTTGCCCCCCTCGCCTCCGCCCCTCCCCCCCCCCACCAGGTGATGAGCTACGACGGGCACACCAACAACGTGACAGCAGTGGGCTTTCAGTGCGACGGCCGCTGGATGTACTCGGGCTCCGAGGACGGCACCGTCAAGATCTGGGACCTCCGGTGGGTGCACATGTGGGGCAGTTAGCTCGGGCATGATGTACCATGTTACGGCTCTACACACAGCATGAGGCTTTGTCATGGGTGTCAGTGCGACAGCAGATGGATGTACTCCGGCTCAGAGGACGGCACCGTCAGGATCTGGAACCTCAGCTAAGGTGGGTGCAGCGCAGTCAGTCATTTGAAAGGATCTGACCTGAGGTAGATGCAGTGTAGTCAGATACGGTTCATGTTATCACTCCAGCAATCCATTATTCATTCCATGCCAACTTCTGGCTTCCTCCCCCTCGTTTAGTTTCAGAGCCCCACTGCTGCGCCAGAGGCTATGAAACGCGAGCAGCAAAGAGTGGTGCAGTGCAGAACCCCAACTAGTGGAGCATGGACCTCGTCCCCTCCCTGCTGCTTTCTCTCCGTCGGATTTCAGAATCCCATGAGAGCCCACAGAGTCACAGACCACATACCTTCCCTTCTCCTCCTTCCCCCCCGACCCGACCATTGTGCGGGACTACGAGAGCCGAGCAGCGAGCACGTAGCTGCAATCAATGTTGGACTATACGCTCAGACCCTAAAGCGTACAGCGTTTATACGCTTGCGTATATACCCAAAACGCTATACGCTAGCTAATACGCTATACGCACTCAGAATGTTTTTGGGGCTGCCCGGGAAAAAAATCGTGAGTATACGGAAAAATGCGGATTCTCCTGGTGACCATTTCGCCGAAGTCGAAATGCAATTCGGCGGCCTAGGGAAGCGGGAATGTGCCTTTGAAGTTTTCTGGTAGTTCCAATTTGAACTTTCGATTTGTACCGCACCGCATTGAAACCCATCCTATCTACAAACTCCAACCTGTCAAAAAATACCCCTAACTACCTCACACTCACGCTACTTACCAGCCAGCCAGCCCAACGGCACTCCTCATCTCTAGTTTATATTCCCGCTTCCCAGCAGAGTTCCTTCCGATACCTACCTCTCCTTCTAGCGATCTACTCCACATCCCACCCCACCCACCATTCAGACTCAGGAAAAAGCTAGGGAAGTCTTAGTGAGAATAGGGTAGAGAGTACTACCTTCCCGGATGTTGAGCACGACGTATTTTTCACCCTGCCCAGAAAACTTTTTCCCCTGCCCGGAAAAGCGTATGCCCAATCTTACCCTTAAGTGTATCGCGTATACACGTTAGCGTATATACGATACGCGTTTATACGCTGAACGCGTATAATCCATCATAGGCTGCAATGCACTCTCCACCCAGACAGACTGTGGACCTCATACATACCCTCCCGTCTCCCTTTCGTTCCTCATACCCTTCGGATCTTGGGGCCCGCTGTACCAGAGGAGCAATAAGAGCTGGCCAGGCAGCGAGCACGGTGCTCCACTGCAACCAAACCAGATGGAGCGTGAACCTCATTCATACCCTCCATTCCCCTTTCCCCCCCTCGGATCTCAGAGCCCCGCTGTTGTACCAGAGGGACTACGAGAGCCGGGCGGCAGTGAACACGGTGGTGCTGCATCCCAACCAGACGGACCTCATACCCATAATAGTGGTACTCGTTCTTCCCTCCTTTCCCCCCTCCCCCCTCTCTCTTCTGCATTCCCTTCACTTCCAGAGCCCCTCCCTTATATCAGAGGGACTACGAGAGCCGCGCGGCGGTGAACACGGTGGTGCTGCATCCCAACCAGACGGAGCTCATCTCGGGCGACCAGAACGGCAACATCCGCGTGTGGGACCTCACTGCCAACGCGTGTAGCTGTGAACTGGTGGGTGACAGACATTAAGTCAACATGAGTCAGTGTGGCGTGCTCTGCCATGTGCCATGCGCCACACACACAGCACAGGGAGGGCATCAAACGGAGCTCATTTTGGGCGACCAGAGCGGCAACATTCGCATGTGGGACCTCACTGCCAGCGCCTGTAGCTGTGAACCGGTGAGTGACAGGGAATCAACGTGAGTCAACGTCACTCAATCACGGCAACGTGATTCAAAGAGAGTTAGTGCGAGGCAATTCAACAGGAGTCATGCTGAACTGGCGAGAGCACATGGATGACAGGCCTCACTGTGAGTGCGGCAGTGACCACCGTGGTGCTGCACCCCAACCGGACGGAGCTGATTCTCAGGAGACCAGAATGGCAATATCTGCGTGTGGGACCTCGCTGCCAACGCCTGCAGCTGTGAACTGGTGAGTCAACGCGCTTGAATGTCAGTGTGCTGTGCCACACGCTGTTCTCGCTTCCACATTCTTCGCTGTGCACTCAATCAATCAGTGGTGCGTCAGGTGCCAGCACAGTCCGTTCCCTGTCTCATAGGATAGGACCACCACACAGCATCCTCCTATCACCACTGTCCTGTCCGTTCCGTCTCCATGTGCCGCTCGTATGACCTCTTCCCCTCTTCTCCTCGCAACCATCAATTCACCCGGCAGGTACCAGAGGTGGACACGGCAATAAGGTCCGTGGCAGTGATGTGGGATGGCAGCATGGTCGTCGCAGCCAACAACAAGGGCACCTGCTTTGTCTGGCGCCTCACCTCGGGCTCGCAGGTATGTGTGTGTGTGTGTGTGTGTGGGTGTGTGGGTGTGTGTGGGTGTGTGGGTGTGGGGGTGTGAGTGTGTGTGTGTGTGGGTGTGTGTGTGCGTGTGTGTGTGTGCGTGTGTGTGGGTGTGTGTGTGTGTGTATGTGTGTGTGTGGGTGTGGGTGTGTGGGTGTGTGGGTGTGTGTGTGTGTGTGTGTGTGTGTGTGTGTGCAGGGTTTAGGGTTTAGGGCGGGGAGGGGGAGGGGGGGGGGGGGTTGAAGGCTGAGCGGGGCATGGGCGTGGGTGTGCGGGTGCCGGTGCACACGTGTGCATGTGCGTGCGTGCAGGTGTGTGTGCAGGTGTGTGTGTGTCTGTGTCTGTGAAAGTGTGTGCGTGCAGGTGTTTGTGCAAGAGTGCCTGCTCTCTCCCTCCTCGCCCCACGTAGCCCTGTTTGTGCATTCTTTCCCCCTCCTTTTGCACCCCTTCCCCCCTACCCCCTTCTCACGTAGCCCTGTTTCCATTCTCCTCCTTACCTGTTTCCATTCTCCTCCTTACCTGTTGCATTCTCCTCCCTACCTTATTCTCCGCCCCTCCTTATGCATTCTCCCCCTTACCTTTTGCATTGTCCTCTTTCCTGTTACAACCACTCACCCTCCTCCGCCCACGCGCCGTGGGCAGACGGCAGCGAGCTTTGAGCCGCTGCACAAGCTGCAGGCGCACAACAGCTACGTGCTCAAGTGCCTGCTCTCGCCCGAGTTCTCCGACCCCAACAGGTATGATCAGGCCTGCTGCCTGTCTGCCATTGATTCAGCCATGGTCTCTAGAAGTTTCAAAGATCACAGCAGGTAAGTGCGTGCCTGCTCTCGCCGGAGTTCTCCGACCCCAACGGGTCAGCTGCCTGCGCGCCTGCCTGCCATTGTTGCATGCGTGTTTCTTGTTGCTGTTTGTTTTTGTAGTTCTGACAAAACACAACAGCCATCTGCTCAAGTGCGTCCTCTCGCCGGAGTTCCGATACCCTTTGCAACGGAGGGCACGACACAAGGCATGTGGTTTGGAGATGCCTGCAAGATGGTTTAGAGTTGCACTAGTAGTCACTGCTGTTTTCTATGCCACTCAGCACGCTCTTATTAGCCATGGACCTCACTCCTCACATTTGTTGCCTGTACTTATCATTGTGCTGATTTCACATTGCCCGATATACGAGTTAGCTTTGCTGTACTTGTCCTTTTTGTCCTCTCCTTCCATTTTGTCCTCTCCTTCCATTTTGTCCTCTCCTTCCATTTTGTCCTCTCCTTCCATTTTGTCCTCTCCTTCCATTTTCTTTGCACATCCCCCTTCATCCCTCATCATTCATTTCTATTTCATTTTTCTGAATTCCCTGGTTGCCAGCCCCCCATACCTCTCGTCTCGTTATACCTCATTACCCCCCTGTTACCTCCTTCTCAACCCTGGACCCCAGTAAACCCTCTTTTCGCCATTCCACCCCTTTTCACCATCGCATCTCACCCTGCTCCCTGTTTTCCCTTATAATTCGTCCGTCCTCTCTATCAGATACCTCGCTACAGCATCAGCGGATGGCACAGTAAAGATATGGAATGCAGATGGCTTTACCCTGGAGAGAACACTCACAGGTAAACGTGAATCGGTCAACCTCTGTGAAAACCTGGGATAAAAAAATTACGCCTGCCATTTTTCGGTGGCAAGGAGTTCTTCTTGCTCTCTAATCCGCTTCCCCCTTTTTTGTTTTCCTTCCAGCATCCCTCCAACTGGGGCATTCTCATAAGCCCACCACCTTCTCATCACCCCCAACCACCAATCAACCCGTGTGTTTCCACGCCGTTCTCAGGCCATGCAAGATGGGTGTGGGACTGTGTGTTCTCCATCGATGGGGCCTACCTCGTCTCAGGTATGTATGTGCTTCTTACACGCATGTTTTCCACGCGAGCACTGCATGTGGAGGGGTGCATGTGGAGGGGTGCATGATGGTGCAGGACTGGTTGCTCCGTTGCTCTCTTTGGCGCCCACTGTGTGTTTGACAATGCAATGCCTGACGATTCCTTGTGAGAATCGTCCAGCATACTGTACATCGCGCCTTGCCTCAGGGAGCTAGGCAGCAGTAGCACCTCCCTTCATCGGCTGTAGCAGCAGCAGCACCTGTGTACCAGGTGCAGAGACACCTCATTCCTTTGACCTCACGCCTGCCCCTCCCTCTCCCCCACTCCCAATCCCTCCCTCTCCCACTCCCCTCACCCCAACCCCACAGTTCACCTCTGCAGCATCATCGGACAGCACGTCTCGTCTGTGGGCGCTGGCGAGTGGCAACTGTGTGCGAGTGTACCAGGGCACTTGATGCTCTTCCCTCCCCCCCACTCTCTTCCGCCCTCACCCCCCCAGCCCCTCTCCCCTTCTGTACCCGTTGCACCTCTGCAGCATCATCGGACGGCACGTCTCGGCTGTGGGAGCTGGCGAGTGGCAACTGTGTGCGAGTGTACCAGGGCCACCAGAAGGCTGTTGTGTGCTGCGCTCTCAACGACGGCACTGATCTCCCGCCCGCATGAAACCTTCTAGTCCGGAAAACATGTAAAAATAGTGTTTTAAGATGTCGGTAAGGAAAGAGCTGATGACAAGCCTCTAGCAAAAGAAAGGCATAAAAAACTGGGCATCTATCCGGGGTATGGCGGTCTGCTCATTTGCACTCCAGCTTTGTCTACTGCTAAAATTAGAGCAAATACAAAAATCCTGAGAATGACATGAGAAACTTGTTTCCCTTCTAATTCTAGGTCACAGGGTGTTGTCAATATAGACACCTGATTTCAAAGGATGCTCTAAGCCAATTTCTGGGCCCTCCTGGCCTGTAATTTCAGGGTTAAACGATTGAAATGCCTTCTCTGGAGGCACCCACTGTGACCTGACACCGCCAACCGTTCCACTAAGCTCCACGAGCAAATATGTGAGAGCGCCCCTGCAGTCGTTCACCAGAATCATGCCCACACGGCCCCACTGTTGACCATCTTGGTGTAGGCCGGCACAAAGTCCCGGAAGAAGAGATCCTGATTGCTGGCGTACTTGTTGATCCACCTGGTGTGGCCATGGGGAGAGATTGGGGTGGGCAGGGGAGTTGGGAGTGAGGGCTATTTAGATCCCACATGACCCCGCTATTGAGCATCTTGGTGTAGACCGACACTAAGTCTCGGAAGAAGAGATCCTGACCGTTGGCGTTCTTGTTGGATGGTTGGGAGGCATGGACGGTTGCACAGGATAATTTTTTATGCGCCTCAAAAATCACAGGACGGGAGAATGTGAGGGAGCTCAGCATTTGAGTGAAGTCAAAGGGTAGTGGCGAAGGGAAGAGGTGAAGGGTAGTGGTGAAGGGAAGAGGTGAAGGGTAGTGGTGAAGGGAAGAGGAGAAGGGTAGTGGTGAAGGGTCATGGTGAAGGGTAGTGGAGAAGGGTAGTCGAGAAGCGAACTCACACGAGGCAATCTTCATCGGCCACAATAGCCTTGTCCGATGGCAACCCGATCATGTCCGCCATGCTGTTCCCTGCCATGCCAGTCAAATGTGGGTAGCATTCATGCAACATGGGGAAGCACGAGCATGACATGCATAGACACGGTCACCTCCAGCCATGTGTAAGCAGCCCGATCATGTCCGCCATGCTGTTCCCTGCCATGCCAGTCACATGTGGGTTGCATAGCATGGACGCACACAGTCATGCTCGGTCGTGGCTGATGGCAACCCGATCATGTCCGCCATGCTGTTCCCTGCCATAGATTTCACAGGTAGGTGCATGGCTGCAGCATGGAGAAGCATGAGCATGACATGGACGGACAGGGTCATGTCCCTGGCGCTGTTCCTTGCCATGGTTGTCACAAGTGGGTGCATGCATGCAAAGCAGGACGGGTGCGCGGCAGGGCATGGTATGACTTGTCGTGTCGAGCCTTACTCACTCGTGCCGAGCCTCACTCACTTGTGCCGAGACTCACTTGTGCCGAGCTACACTCACTCGTGTGAAGTCATGGCTTGGTAAGGAGAATGGGGCAAGCAGGCAGAATCCACTCACTCGTGTTGAGCCATGGCTTGGTGAGGAGAATTGAGTAGTATGCATTGTCAAAGCTAGTAGGGTCACTGAAACCCTTTCCACACAGAGTGTGCAAAGAGAGAGCAAGGCAAGCAGGCAGCCTCGCATCCACTCACTCGTGTCGAGCCATGGCTTGGTCAGCAGAATGGAGTAGTAGGCATTGTCAAAGCTGGTAGGGTCACCGAAGCCCTTACCACACAGACTGTGCGAAGAGAGAGCAGGGCAGGCAGGCACAGCTTCATGCACTCACTCGTGTCGAGCCACGGCTTGGTAAGCAGAATGGAGTAGTAGGCGTTGTCAAAGCTGGTGGCATCGCCAAAGCCCTTCCCTCCCAGTGTGTGCGCTCCCAGTAGACACACCGTCTCTTGTAGACTGGGGGGGGGAAGAAGGGGGCAGAGAGAGGGCATTTTGGTCGACAGAAAGTAGCTTTGACAGTATAAAGTCCTTCCCTCCCAGTGTGTGCACTCCCAGTAGGCACTGTCTCTTGTAAGCTGTACGGGGGTGGAGAGGTCTTGGGAAGGGAAGGGGGGAAGGGAGGAAAGAGTGAAGTGGGAGGAGTGAGGAGGTAGGAATAAAATATAGCCGCACCTGAAGCTGCATCTGAAGCCGCACCTGAAGCCGCACCTGAAGCCGCACCTGAAGCCGCGCACCTAAAGCCGCCCCTGACGAGCTTTGCATTGCAAATGTTTTCCTTGGCGTTCAGTGCAACTGAGACTTATTCAATCTGAATCTATAATTCACACACCTGAAGCCCCTGAAGACCTCAGAAAGCCCTCACAACCCACCTGAAGACCGCACAACCCACCTGACGACCTCACAACCCACCTGAAGCCCGCACAACCCACCTGACGACCTCACAACCCACCTGAAGCCCGCACAACCCACCTGACGACCTCACAACCCACCTGAAGCTCGCAAAACCCACCTGAAGCCCTCACAACCCACCTGAAGCCCTCACAACCCACCTGAAGCCCTCACAACCCACCTGAAGCCCTCACAACCCGCTTGAAGCCCTCACAGCCCACCTGAAGCCCTCAGAACCCACCTGAAGCCCTTCGACTTGAAGCTCGCTACCACTTCCTTGGCGTTCAGCGTCTCTGCTGGCATGCGGTTCTCAGGGTCGGGTCCACTGGTGGGGGGGAGAATGGAGTGGAGAGGGAGCGGGAACAGAATGGAGAGGAGGTGCAACTTGCAAGTGAGAGAGAGGGAGTGAGAGACAGAGAGGCCAGCAAAGCACCCTACTTAGCATTCAGTGTCTCTGCTGGCATGCAGTTCTCAGGGTCGGGGCCACTGGTTGGGGGGCGGAGGGAGGGGGGATAAGAAGTAAGAAGGGGATGGAAGGGTGCAAGCGAGAGAAAGAGGGCATCAGGGAGTGACAGAGGCCAGCGACCCACCCTCTTTGGCGTTCAGTGTCTCTGCTGGCATGCGGTTCTTTGGGTCGGGGCCACTGGGGGGGGGGAGAATGGAGTGGGGAGGGAGCGGGAGCAGAAGGGAGGGAAAGGGCAAGTGAGGGAGAGGGAGTGAGAGACAGAGAGGGTAGAAAATCGCCCTCTTTGGCGTTCAGCGTCTCTTCTGGCATGCGATTCTCCAGGTCAGGACCACTGGTGAGGGGGGGGGGGGGGGGGGAAGGGGAAGGGGGGAGAGGGGGAGGGAAAAGGGGGGGAGGGGAGGGGAAGGGGGAGAAGGGGAGGGGAGGGAATGGGGGGGGAGGGGAGGGGAGGGGAGGGGAGAGGAGGAGTGGGGGGGAGGGGAGGGGAGGGGAGGGGAGAGGAGTGAGGGGGAGGGGAGGGGAGGGGGGAGTGAACGGTGATGGGACAGTGAGTGGACGAGCAGGGAAGAAGGCAACCGGGCCTTGCAGGTGCGTGAAATTCAAGGGGCAGAGTCTATGATACTGCCATGTAGTTCTCAGGGTTGGGGCCAGTGAGTTGTGGTTGTGGTGGGAACCATGGTTAATAGAATCTGCCCACAACCCCACCCTACCCAGGGATAGGGTGGGGCTGTGGGATTGATGGGGACGAAACCATGCTTTATAGAATCTGTGAGAGAGGGGCATGGCATGGCATGGCATGGCATGGCATATGGCAGGGTGTTGGAGTAGGCTAGAGTCTGCTCTGATATTGATCATGATGTCATTAATACTCCGCCACACCCTACGGTTCCGCTTAGGTCCATATCATAGATCTTGCTCTAAACCGAACAGAGCACACCCTGAGTTCGATTGGGTTTTTCCAGCCTCCTTGCTCAGATGCACCCAACGCTTTTCCTAGTCCAACGTTTAACTCGCCAACCTACCTGCAATTTTGAGTCTCTTATGAGGTACCCTCTAACACAGGGTGCGTGCACGCACAGAGCCTTCATGTGCACAGAGCCTTCATGTGCACAGAGCCTTCATGTGCACAGAGCCTTCATGTGCACAGAGCCTTCATGTTCACAGAGCCTTCATGTGCACAGAGCCTTCATGTTCACAAGCCTTCATGTTCACAGAGCCTTCATGTTCACAGAGCCTTCATGTGCACAGAGCCTTCATGTGCACAGAGCCTTCATGTTCACAGAGCCTTCATGTTCACAGAGCCTTCATGTTCACAGAGCCTTCATGTGCACAGAGCCTTCATGTTCACAGAGCCTTCATGTGCACAGAGCCTTCATGTTCACAGAGCCTTCATGTTCACAGAGCCTTCATGTTCACAGAGCCTTCATGTTCACAGAGCCTTCATGTTCACAGAGCCTTCATGTTCACAAGCCTTCATGTTCACAGAGCCTTCATGTTCACAGAGCCTTCATGTTCACAGAGCCTTCATGTTCACAAGCCTTCATGTTCCTGCTGCCATGCGAAAAACAACTCAGAGGTGCATGGCATGGCAGCACACAAGCCCCTGCTGGCTCCCTCCGTGCATGGCAGAGCATGAAGGCTCTGCGCCAAGAGAGAGACACACAAGCCCCTGCTGCTGGCTCTAATAGAGGCATTTCGTCCTAAATGATATCTGCTCCTGCCTTGAGGTACCTACGAAAGCACCCCTCTCACCTGGCATCGCGCCTGCCCATGCGCACAGGGATGTGCGGCCCCCCACACGACTCCACTGCGTATGCCCCCGCCACTGCCATGAGGTCCGCCCAGGACACCACTGGAGAGAGGGGGCGGTGGAGGGGAGACGAGGGGGCGGTGGAGGGGAGACGAGGGGGCGGTGGAGGGGAGACGAGGGGGCGGTGGAGGGGAGACGAGGGGGCGGTGGAGGGGAGACGAGGGGGCGGTGGAGGGGAGACGAGGGGGCGGTGGAGGGGAGACGAGGGGGCGGTGGAGGGGAGACGAGGGGGCAGCGGAAAGGGGGGAGGCAGTGATGTCACGATTTCAGGCACGCAGCACATGAGACGACAGGGCGTTGAGGCACGCAGCACATGAGACGACAGGGCGTTGAGGCACGCAGCACATGAGACGACAGGGCGTTGAGGCACGCAGCACATGAGACGACAGGGCGTTGAGGCACGCAGCACATGAGACGACAGGGCGTTGAGGCACGCAGCACATGAGACGACAGGGCGTTGAGGCACGCAGCACATGAGACGACAGGGCGTTGAGGCACGCAGCACATGAGACGACAGGGCGTTGAGGTGCCTAAGAAACCACAGTCACACGTCTGCACGGCACATGCCCCCTCCGCGTCCACTGTCACCGAATGTGCCACGTACTAACCAAGGCACGGCTCATGCGCACAGCAAGTAATATCACAGGCATGTGCCGTGTGCCGTGTGCCGTGTGCTGTGTGCTGTGTGCCGTGTGCCGTGTGCCGTGTGCTACCTTGCCACTACCCCAAAGCAATGCATTTGTCACCATCCCTTGCTTTGTTTTCCGCCCGGCTTACCATTTGCCAGGGGCCCGCCCGGCTTACCATTTGCCAGGGGCCCGCCCGGCTTACCATTTGCCAGGGGCCCGCCCGGCTTACCATTTGCCAGGGGCCCGCCCGGCTTACCATTTGCCAGGGGCCCGAGCTCCAGGCGAGCCTTCTCAAGCACCTGGCGGGGGGCAGGGAGGGAGGGATGGATGGAAGAGAGTATGAGTTTCACTGATGGGCTGTGAGAGGAGTCAAGAGGGCGATGGAACTTGAGCAGTGCCGGCCCGGGCGAATCTTCTTAGCACCTGGTGGGGAGGAAAGTGCTTGGAAGGATAGCTGTTGACATGACGGGGAAAGATGACCGACGAGGGGACAAAGAATCAAGAACCGTGAAGGGGAAAAATACGTTGAGAGACAACGAGAGCAGCAGGAGATGGAAATGCATGTTGGTGATGAAAGAGACTTGGGATGCATTTGAGAGGGATGTTGCGAGATAATGTGAGTAGGAGTCAGAGGAAGGAGTTCTTTTAGGTCAATTCAAACCACAAATGCATGTTGGTGATGAATGCGACGTGGGATGCGTTTGAGAGGGAGGATGTTGCGAGATGATGTGAGGAAGAGTCAGAGGAAGGAGGGAGGAGGTTACCTTGATGGTACGCTTGAGCCCGTCGTTTTCTGGCCGCTTCAACTCAAAGCGCACTGAGCCGTTCATTCCTCCTGCCAAAACAGATCGCCCCCCGTCATATCACACGCCCACACAGGCACAGGCACAAGTGCGGACACAGGTGCAAACACAGGTGCAGACACAGGTGCAGACCCAAACACCAACCCAAGCCGACGCAGAGATACGGAGACACGCACACGGGCACCACCCAGACGAGCTGAGGAAATCAAGCATTCATGGCCCTGCCTGCCTGGACTGGACATATGCCAACTTCAGAGACAATTCCTGGATCGCGCATGCTACTTTAAGCTGTAGATTACATCGCGCGTGCCCCCAAGGCTTGAGAGTAGAATCACAGATTCACAGGTGATTTGCAGTCTCATCTAAACTTGGAACTGTTGTCATCGGCGCTGACATGGAAACAGAAAGCCCCACTTGCATGTTGCATGTGACCACTGTTGGTGCAGCCTTGAGTCAACACCTATCTGTTGGGTCGTTCCCAGTGTGTGGGAGGGCTACAGGTGCGTCCTGGGGGGTTATGGGTGTGATACCTACCCACCATACAAACACCCAGTCGGTAGCAGACTAGGCCGAAAACCAGGACTATAGGAGTTGACTCAAGGCTGATATGTTCTGAAGTGGTTGTACCAAGGCTATCGTGTCATGTCATGTCACCCAATTTGGTTGCCAGGTCGTACGTCATAGGTGCATGGTGCACCAGGGGCTCGTTGGGTACATGTGATAACATCGAGGCTAGGCTAGTGAGTGCGTGTCATGTCATGCCACCTTTGATCATACCGAGGTTGAAGCGTTTCATGTCGTCTCACCTGTGTTGGTCGCCAGGTCGTTCGTCATGGGTCATGGACCGTACGTCGTGGCTCGTTCGTCACAGGCTAGAGCGTCTCACCTGTGTTGGTCGCCAGGTCGTACGTGCCGGCGTCGTGAAACACGATCCTCAGCGCGCCAGGCGCCTTAGCTCTGGTTACCACCTTCGCCACTGCTCGCCGCACTGCCGCCTCCAGCTCAGCAGGGGACAGATCCACGTCAGCAGCGTGCGCTGGGGCCACTGGACTGGTTCCGAGAATGGCGAGCGAACGAGGGCGAGCGACGTAGAGGGGCAGAGCGTGAAAGAGAGAGAGGAACGGTGGGCGAGGGGGAGGGCGACAGAGAAGAGAGTTGGAGAGAGGGCAGGGAAGGAAGTGGGGTGGAGGGTAGGGGAAGAACGGCGCACGGGGAAGCGGGTGGGGATGATGGCGATGTGGACTGCACCTGGACGATTGACAGCTGGCAGACTGACAGAATGACAGAATGACAGCTGATTCTAGCGAAGTACAGGCAGGAATCCGAGAAGCGACGGTGCTTCGGACAAGGGACAAGAGATTGAGGCCACAAAGCGAGAGGGGCGATGGCACGGACGCATACTGATGTACCTAAACGAGGGGAGGGACGGCGACAGCAGACAAACTGACAGCTGATTCTGCAGGCAGGAAGGCGACGTGCTCTAAAAAGTGACACGCGCTTGAAGCCACGGATTCTTGCTGATGTACCTAAACGAGGGAAGCGACGGCGACAGGAGCGGTGCGAGAGTCGCAGCCGACAGCGACACGGCGAGCAGCGATCGACGGCTGACCGCATTCGACGGCGCGCCTTGCGATTCGCTGCTGCTGGAGGTTGAAGCTGCTCGCACGCGGCGATTCGTTTTAGTCACACCCGCTAGAGGAACAGAGATTCGCCTGACGGGGAAATCCGCTACGCCGGAACGCTGGGCGGCGGAAAGCGCGCCGAGCTCTCTCGAGAGATTTTGCGCGGCGAGGGACGCCATTGGCGGCGGAAGCAGGGGCTGGCGGAAGAAGCGGAGGAGAGCGCAACGACGATGCGTCGAGGGGGGAAGGGGAGGAAAGTGAGGTGGGGAGAAAGGACGAGGAGACGGCGCAGCGCAGAGGTCTAAATATGATTCAGGTGCTCAATAGTAGTAGTATTGATGGGCTGACCAGGGCGGATGGTTGCTGAATGCGAATGAGCAGAGCTGACGTCAGCAGCTATATTTGCGGTTTAGATCGGTTCATGGGGATTTCGTGGGATAGTCTTTGAACCACAGACAGTTCGTATAATCGTACGAGCAGGCGAACGGTCTGTTCTGTGGTCAATTCTGCGGTACGGGTTGACCACCGTACGATTTTCCCGAATTCGTGAAACCTTTCGTACGACAGCGATGTCATGTCACGACAATTGTGCGCTTTTGCACGGCCAATCAGCTGGGTCGAGTGTACGACGCGGCGGCCAAAGGCAATGTATTCGTAGGCGAAATCAGTGAATCTCGGTCCCTGTGTTACGCAGTACACTCCAAAAAAACTATATCTACACAATGATTGTAGAAGCATTGATTCTACAGGTAGTCTTCATCCTCATCAATTTCCTCCTCTTTGACCTTCCTTTTACCCCCATAACCTGTGCTCTGTATCCCTACTGCCTTCAATGCATCTCGTAGTCCCTCGCATTTCACCACCTCACATCCACTGGGTGCTGCTTGCCCTTTCCACTGCTTTGCTGGCACAACACAACGAGAAAACCCAAGCTTGGCCACCTCATTCACACGCCGATCCAGCTGAATCACCTGACAAACAACAGAGTACAAGTAGAGCCTGTTAGAAGCCACCCCCCTCTGTGCACCAAACAACAACAATGTACAGTGAATGAAAAACATTGTGATAACGTATTTTGGGAGTGTACAGTGCATGCTCCATGCCCCACGAGGTCAACATCTCACCCCTCTCAACTCCCCGTTGAGCCCAATCTCGCCAATGAAGGCCGTGTCTGCTGGCACCGGGCTCTCGTATAGACTGATGGGCAGTGAGATGATAGGGGAGGATGGAGAGAGGGATGCATGAGATGATGGGGGTTTGGTGGCATGAAGGCCGTGTCTGCTGGCAGGCACTGGACTCTCATACAGACTGGCAGGTGTGGGGTGAGAGGGAGCAGCAAGATGGTGGGGGGATGGCAGAAGGGAGGGGAAGAATGTTGCAAAAAGTGGAGGCATAGGTGGGAAGCAGATGAACAGAGAGAGACATGCACAGAAGCAGACGATGCCAAGTACACAGGCACAGAGGCACTCAGTTACGACACAAGATTACATGAGTATATGCTGCCAGGCAGGAGAAGAGAGCAACACACCTGCTGGCGATGGCAACAGCAATGGCGAGGTCAGCAGCAGGCTCCTTCACCTGCATGCCCCCCACCACATTCACCACCACATCCTGGAAGAGCAAAAAGACAACACAGTAACACGGTAGTGGGTTAATAGGGTAGCAAGTTAGCAGGCAGAGTGCGGGGAGTCTTGAGCAAAGCAGCAGGCTCCTCCTTGACCTGCATGCCCTCCACCACGTTCACAACAACATCCTACCAGGGGCGATGAGGTAACCACAGGGTAGCAACAAGCATGGAAATCGGTGACTTGATCACCTATGCCGTCCACAAGGCGTGAGAAGACACAGCAGTGAACCATGTGACTCTGCTGCGCATGACATCGTAATGACGGTAAGCATGGGACAGGGTGCTGGGGTGTCAGTCACGTAACAGGGTGCCAGGCTGTCGTGTAGCTGGTTGTCAGGCTGCCATGCAACCGGTGCCCAAACTTATTGTGGGTGTGGGGCGCATTGCATTCACACTCACCTTAGAGCCAATAGGCAGGCCGATGTGACGCATGATCTTGGTGAGGATGGTGAGGCGGTACATGTCCACCCCGTTGGCTGTCTTGGTGGGTGGGATGTTGGGGATGGCTTTTACGCACAGGGCCTGGTGGGAGGGAAAAGAGGGGACAGGAAGAGAACGAGGACACAAGGACGCGAGGACCTGAGGATGGTGAGAAAGAAGGTACATGTCCATCCCATTGGCGGTCTTGGTGGGCGGGATGTTGGGGATGGCCTTCACGCATAGGGCCTGGTGAGTTGAAGACAGGGAGACATGGATATGGTAGAATAGAGGCGAAGCGAGGAAAGACTTGTGGATGGTGAGGCGGTACATGTCCACCCCATTGGCGGTCTTGGTGGGCAGTATGTTGGGGATGGCCTTCACACACAGCGCCTGGTGTCGGGAAAGCAGGAGGGGATATGAGGATTGTGGTGAGGATGGTGAGGCGATGCATGTCCACTCCGTTGGCGATGCATGTCCACTCCGTTGGCGATGCATGTCCACTCCGTTGGCGGACTTGATGGGTGGGATGTTGGGAATGGTTTTTACGCACAGGGCCTGGTGGCAGAATGGGAACAAGAGAGAAATAGGAGAGGGGTGAGAGCGGAGTAGGCATGACATGAAAATTGTGAGTGTGGCACAGCGGTACATGTAAGGGAATCTACCATCTCACCATAACATCACTAGAGCCCACCTGCACCTCCAGCAGCAACGGCCTGCTGCCATACCCACAGCCACTGCTGCACTGCCTTCAGTGGCGCACTCGACCTCCCACTGTCCCCATCACACCACACTAATCATGGGACACCCACACACCTGCACCTCCAGCAGCAACGGCCTGCTCCCATACATCCCCACGGACATCACTGCACTGCCTGTTACCACTGAGCCAACCACAAACCACCCACCTGCACTTCCAACCAGAGTGGTCTGCTCCCATGCATCACCACAGCCACTGCTGCACTGCCCACAGTGCTGCATTCGACCAACTCACCATAGCATCATATCACACCCACACCCACACACCTGCAGCAGCAGTGGTCTGCTGCCGTGCATCACGGCCACCGCTGCACTGCCCACAGTGCTGCATACTTCCTCCCCCAGTCACACAATGCCACACACACACACACACACACACACACACACACACACACACACACACACACACACACACACACACACACACCACCCACAGCCACCCACCTGCACCTCCAGCAGCAGCGGCCTGCTGCCATGCATGACTACGGCAACAGCTGCACTGCCCCGCGTGCGGCTGGCCGGGAGGAAGGCGAGGCTGGGGTTGGGCACTGCCACCATGCCCTGTGCTGCCATCTCGAACACTCCCACCTAAGGGAGGGGGGGCGGTTGGGGATTTAGAGGCGAGGGGAGGAGGGTGGTGGGAGGAGAAGAGGGCCAAAGGAGAGGAAGGCGAGGCTGGGGTTGGGCACTGCCACCATGCCCTGCGCTGCCATCTCGAACACGCCCACCTGGGAGTAGGGGTAGAGAGGGTGATGGTTGGGAATAAGAGACTTTTGAGTGAACAGGAGGAAGGTGAGGCTGGGGTTGGGTACTGCTACCATGCCCTGTGCTGCCATCTCGAACACACCCACCTGGCAGTGTGAGAGTGGAAGGAAGGAAGGTGATCGGAGGAAAAGAGAGGCAAAGAAAAGGAAGGCGAGGCTGGGGTGGGGCACACTGCCACCATGCCGCGTGCTGCCATCTCGAACACACCCACCTAAGGGAGAGGGGGGCGGTTGGGGATTGAGAGGCGAGGGGAGGAGGGCGATGGGATGAGTAGAGGGGCAAAGGAGGGGAAGGCGAGGCTGGGGTGGGGCACTGCCACCATGCCACATGTTGACATCTCAGACATGACCACCTAGTAGGGGGAGCAAGCGTGGGCAGGGTGACGAGGAGCAACGGAGGGTGACGGGGGGCAATGGAGGGTGACGGGGGGCAACGGCGGGTGACGGGGGGCAACGGAGGGTGACGGGGGGCAACGGGATGAGAAAAGTGAAAATATGGGTATTGCCATCATCCCCTGGGCTGCTGGCCAAGGGGAAGGCGAGGCACTGCCACCTGGTAGGGCGGGCAAGCGGGGGTGGAATGACGGGGGGCGACGGGATGAAAGAAGGGGAGATTTGGGTATTGCCATCGTTAGACATGATCAATCGAGGCGAGTTTTAGCTCGACTCGCTGGCTCGACTCGACTCTAGGTCGAGTCGAGTCAGTTATTTTCTTTTCCTGACTCGAGTCGAGTCGAGTCGAGTCGAATTGAGGAGAAATCTCGATACATCGCCCGACTTGAGGACAGTCTGGTGAGCCACGAGTCGGCGAGTCGGCTGACTCGATTCGAGCTGGGCTGACTCGAGGGCCACAAATTTTACCCACGTGGATTCCCGTTGTCAATCCCCCCTCCTTTCCTCATGCAATTTCCCCCGTCACTGAACTTCCGACTATCACTCGCAATTTCCGCTCGACACGCAACCCCCCCCCCCCCCGACACTCAATTTCCGCCTGTCAAGCAAATTCCCCCGACACCCAATTTCCGCCTGTCACGCGAATTCCCCCGTCACCCAATTCCCCCCGTCACTCAATTTTGGGTGTGCATCAATTTACCTGTGCGGAAAGGGGAAGAAACGGGATTTCGTCATTCCTACCTTGACTTTTGGGGCCCTTGAAAACTCTCAAAGGTGAAGTCGAGTCAAGACTGACTCGCGAGTTGATGACTCGTGCTCGAGTCAAGGCCTGACTCGACTTCAGAAGTCGAGCACGAGTCTGTAATTTCGGAAAACTGACTCCACTATGGCTCGACTCGACTCGACTCGACGCAACTCCCGACTCGACCGCGAATCGAGGTGACTCGACTCGACTCGACCCGTGATCATGTCTAGCCATCGTCCCCTGCCTTGCTGGCTAGGGGAAGGCGAGGCTGGGGTGGAGCAATGGCACCATGCCGCATGCTGCCATCTGAAACACGCCCACCAGGAAGGGAGGGGAGGGGGGTGGGAAAGAGGGGTTGGGGGGGGGAGGGTTGTGGGGTGGGGTGGGGGGGAGGAGGGGAGGGGTAGGGGGGACACAGTAAGGACTTCCAATGAAGCGAGTTGGTGGGGGGAGGAAAAATGCAGAGGACAAGTGAAGCGAGTGAATGGAAGGAAGAGACAGAACGGAACGATCATCCTGATTGCCTTGAGATTATAGGGATGCCTTCACATCAAACCTATTACCCTAGAACGCCTAAGAAGAGGTTCAGAGTGTGATGGGCTGGTTCAGATGAGATGAGTGATAGGTTCAAGTACGATGGGTAATCGTTCAGGTGGAATGGGTGATAGTTCACCCCCACACACTCACCTCCACACACTCACCTCCACCCACTCCCCTCCACCCACTCACCTCCATCCACTCCCCTATAACAACACTCACCTCATCATTGGCCGAATCAGTTCTTGCTGGTGCTGAGAATGCGGTGGCTGTCCTGCCTGTCGCTCTGGCACATAGAGTTGCAGTGACCTTCCTCCATTACTCTCACCTCCACACACACACTCACTCACTTCCGCACACTCCCGCCCCTCCACTCACTCATTACAACACAATCACTCGCCTTCACACACTCATGGCCCCCCGCAATTCAATTCACCTCATCAGTGGAGCCGAATCGGTTCTTGCTGGTGCTCAGGATGCGGTGGCTGTCCTGCCTGTCACTCTGTCATGTATGGTAATTTTGGGGCCGAAATAGAACGAACAGAGAAAGACAAGAGAAAGAACACGACGGTTTTTGCTGGTGCTCGGGATGCGGTGGCTGTGCTGCCTTTCGATTCTGGTGGATGGGGAGGGCAGATAGAGATGGTGAGGGTGAGGGAGAGTGAGGGAGAGTGAGGGAGAGTGACGGAGAGTGAGGGTGAGGGTGAGCGAGAGGGAGAGGGTGACGGTGAGTGAGAGGGAGAGGGTGAGGGTGAGCGAGAGGGAGAGGTTGAACGAAGGGGAGAGGCGGGAGAAGTGCAGTAAGCGGGCGATGGTGCAATGTGCGTCTCACTCACGTTGGCCTTTGTTGTGAAGTAATTCGTATTCCTACCACGAAAGCAAGCAGTGAATAGATGCCGAAGAAAATCGACTAAGCCCTCGTAGGGGGAGAGTGCGGCTTGTTTCATACAAGCAAAAAAAACCGAGCATAGAAGCATACGGACGCTAAGACCCGGAGATAGCTACGGCATAGAAGGACCGTGACGCATGAGCAAGACCGATAATGATCTGCACACTCATCGACTCTGATCAGGATAGCAGTATTCTGACAGGAGAAAGGAGGAACATGAGCCCCTGCCAGTCAAGTCTGACTTTCGGGCAGAAGAAGGAGATAGTGACGCGTTGCAAGAAAAAGTGACAGAGCATGCTCTCCTCCCTTCGAATTGCATTTCGACTTCGGCGAAATGGTCACCAGGAGAATCCGCATTTTTCCGTATACTCACGATTTTTTTTCCCGGGCAGCCCCAAAAACATTCTGAGTGCGTATAGCGTATTAGCTAGCGTATAGCGTTTTGGGTATACACGCAAGCGTATAAACACTGTACGCTTTAGGGTCTGAGCGTATAGTCCAACATTGATCTTACCTCCCGTACGCATCTATGCTCGATCCTTTTTGCTTCGGCATCTATTACTGTTTGCTTTCGTGGTAGGAAAGTAGTAAAAGAAGCATACAAGCAAAAAACATCGAGCACGAGCATTCCTTCTGCTTAAATCCCTCTTATCCTCTTGCCTAGCCTTCCCTGACTTGCACGCAACCTCCAGGGCCAAGTTGCATGCCAACTGAGGTGCTAGCTGGGTCCCACTGGCCCACTAGGCATGCACCGCCATTTAGCTGGAAAAGAATTCCTTGAATCGAATTCCCAACCTGGAATTGGATTCTCAACCCTGCCCACACCAACCTCCTCGAATCCCCAACACCTCGACTCTGAATCAATATGTACAATACATGCAAAGCACACAAATGAAAGCAAGAGTACAGAAAACAACAATATAGTACAACCTCACCTTTAGCTGCTGTGCTATTCACACTTTGCCGCTGGCTATGTGTGAATAGCGCGGCACCTTTGAGTCGACTCAGAAGTCGCTTTGTGGCAGGCAGGTGGTGATGGTACCGAATGCACATCACTCACATTGGTAAATAAGGCACCACTCCCCTCCACGTGCATCGTTCACCCCCATGTGTGCTTTAGGCCCATCGACACTGCCATACCCTCGACAAACTTGCACATAACTTTGACGCGACTCCCTACTACCAGTGTCACAGCAGTTACAGTCACACTCAGTCCCTCACTCACCTCTACGCGTATCACCACATCCACTACGTGCTTCAGGTCCCTTGACACTGCCACACGCCCATACTTACCAGTATCACTCCCTACCAGACACCAGTTACACTCACTCTCACCCACCTCCACGTGCATCACCACATCCACTATGTGCTTCAGGTCCCTGGGGCCTGCCGCACCCTTGTCAACTCGGACCTAGCTTTGAAACCACTCCCTACCACCAATGTAGCACCTGTTACAGTCACACTCACCTCCACGTGCATCACCACATCCACTATGTGCTTCAAGTCCCTCGGCCCCGCCACGTCCCCCGCTTTAGTCACATGGCCCACCTGTTGTGTGGGATACAGGGGGGGAGTGATAACAATCGATGCATACATTTTCATGAGAAACCGTTACACTAGATCACAGCCATTCCAAAAGGCCCCTCACAATCACGAGAAGAATGCCTCAGTTGGCCTCACGGTAGCAACAGCAGCATGCGGGAAGGAAGAGAAGGGAAGGGGCAAAGAGCGACATGGCAATGTGGGAGTGGGCGGGGCTCACAATGTACCTTTGAGAATTGTCAGAAACGGCTTGGCTTACAATGAAGATGGGAATGCCTCGGTTCTTGGCCTCCAGCAGCAGCAGCAGCGTGCACTCCCGCACCTGAGAGGAAGAGATTGCGAACGAAAGGGGGAGCAAAGGGGAGGGGAAAGGAGGGAGGGGAGGGGGGGGAGGGGAGGGGAGGGGAGGTTAGGGGAGGGGGGGGAGGGGAGGGGAGGGGAGGGAGGGGGGGGGAGGGGAGGGGAGGAGGGGAGGGGAGGAGGGGAGAGGAAGGAAAGATGAAAGCCGATATCATTTAAGACAGAGATCGCATCCGTTTATGTCACGCATCCCCTCACACATGTTACAGAGCCTCAGTTTCCCCTCGTTACCTAAGCTGCTGCTTCCACCACTTTCTCTCCCCTCCCTCGCTCTCTACTCTCCCTCTCCCTCTACTCACCCTCTCCCTCTACTCTCCTCCTCCCTCCCCTCCCCCTCAGCCCTGCCTCACCTGGCTGACGCTGCCCAATGAGCCGGTGACACCTGGCAGGTGCATGGTTTGAATGGAGTCCACAATCACAGCACGCGGCTCTATCTCCGTGATTCCCTCAAGAATGCTCTGACGGGGGAAAGGAGGGAAGAAACAGGATTGTGGGGAAGAGGAGGTGACAGTGAGGGCAGTGAGTGGAGTCCAGTATCACAGCGCGCGGCTATATCTCCGTGATCCCCTCCAGGATGCTCTGTGGAAAAGAAAAGGCAAAGAGGGTTGTGGGAAAGAGTGGAGGTGGCGGTGAGGCAGAGAAAGGAGTTCAGTATCACAGCGCGCGGCTATATCTACGAAATGCTCTCCAGGATGCGCTGGGAGGAGGAAAGGGCGAACAAGGTTGTGGGGAGGGGTGGTAGGGAGAGGACAGGAGGGGTGGGGTTGAATGAGGTCACAGCGCGCGGCTCTGTATCTGTGACTGTGACTGTGACTGTGACTGTGACTGTGACTGTGACTGTGACTGTGACTGTGACTGTGACTGTGACTGTGACTGTGACTGTGATCCCCTCCTGTATGCTCTGGGGGGAGGAGGACAGGATTGTGGGGACGATGAGTTAGAGAGGGGCGGTGACAATGAGGCCAGTGAGTGGCGTCCACAATCGCAGCACACAGCCCTATCTCCGTGATGCCCTCACGAATGCTCTGGGGGGGGTGGAAAGGAGGTGAGGAAAGGAAGTGCATGGATGGGGTCCCCAAAGTGGGGACACCGCATGGTCTGAATGGAGTCCACCCTCACAGCTCGCGGTTTATTCCCATGATCCCTAGAAAATGCCCTGCAGGTGGGAAAGGAGCGAAGAAGGCTGTGGGGAATAGGTGGAGGCACTGAGGGCAGCAAATGGAGTCCACTGTCTTTCACAGCGCACGGATGTGAATTAAAATGGAGAATCTCTGCCATGGGAAGAGGAGGTGGAAGAGGGGAGCGGAGGTGGGGAGAGAAGGTGGGGAGAGAAGGTGGGGAGGGAGGTGGGGAGAGAAGGTGGGGAGAGAAGGTGGGGAGGGAGGTGGGGAGAGAAGGTGGGGAGAGAAGGTGGGGAGAGAAGGTGGGGAGAGGGGGTGGGGAGAGGAGGTGGGGAAAGGAGGTGGGGAGAGGAGGTGGGGAGAGGAGGTGGAGAGAGAAGGTGGGGAGAGAAGGTGGGGAGAGAAGGTGGGGAGGGAGGTGGGGAGAGAAGGTGGGGAGAGAAGGTGGGGAGAGAAGGTGGGGAGAGGGGGTGGGGAGAGGAGGTGGGGAGAGGAGGTGGGGAGAGGAGGTGGGGAGAGGAGGTGGGGAGAGGAGGTGGGGAAAGGAGGTGGGGAGAGGAGGTGGGGAGAGGAGGTGGGGAGAGGAGGTGGGGAGAGAAGGTGGGGAGAGAAGGTGGGGAGAGAAGGTGGGGAGAGAAGGTGGGGAGAGAAGGTGGTGAGAGGTGGTGGGGAGAGGTGGTGGTGGGGAGAGAAGGTGGGAAGTGCAAGGGGACTGGACGCTGGGCGCGCTCATGTCCATTCAGGGACAAGTGATGCTGGGGGCCGGGCTGGGTTGGTTGGGGCCCAATCTAGCCTGTATTGAGTCGCACGAGGTATAAGGCTGTATAAGGATTTCTCAGCGAGTGTAGGTTCGCGAGTTAAAGGTATATTAGGAGATTCTTGCAAACTAGTAGGAACTTCTGGCATGAGATTGGTACCTCGAGGCTGTTCTTGGAGAGCAGGAAGAGGCTGCCAGCCGTGATGCCCAGCGAGTGGAGATGGGGGTATGGCAGTTGGTTATCACTTGCACCTCATTGCTTCTCACTCGTATCTCGAGGCTGTTCTTGGAGAGCAGGAAGAGGCTGCCAGCCGTGATGCCCAGCGAGTGGAGATGGGGGTATGGCAGTTGGTTATCACTCGCACCTCATTGCTTCTCACTCGTACCTCGAGGCTGTTCTTGGAGAGCAGGAAGAGGCTGCCAGCCGTGATGCCCAGCGAGTGGAGATGGGGGTATGGCAGTTGGTTATCACTTGCACCTCATTGCTTCTCACTCGTACCTCGAGGCTGTTCTTGGGGAGCAGGAAGAGGCTGCCAGCCGTGATGTCCAGCGAGTGGAGATGAGGGTATGGCAGTTCGTTATCACTCGCACCTCATTGCTTCTCACTCGTACCTCGAGGCTGTTCTTGGGGAGCAGGAAGAGGCTGCCAGCCGTGATGCCCAGCGAGTGGAGATGGGGGTATGGCAGTTGGTTATCACTCGCACCTCATTGCTTCTCACTCGTACCTCGAGGCTGTTCTTGGAGAGCAGGAAGAGGCTGCCAGCCGTGATGCCCAGCGAGTGGAGATGGGGGTATGGCAGTTGGTTATCACTTGCACCTCATTGCTTCTCACTCGTACCTCGAGGCTGTTCTTGGAGAGCAGGAAGAGGCTGCCAGCCGTGATGCCCAGCGAGTGGAGATGGGGGTATGGCAGTTGGTTATCACTTGCACCTCATTGCTTCTCACTCGTACCTCGAGGCTGTTCTTGGAGAGCAGGAAGAGGCTGCCAGCCGTGATGCCCAGCGAGTGGAGATGGGGGTATGGCAGTTGGTTATCACTTGCACCTCATTGCTTCTCACTCGTACCTCGAGGCTGTTCTTGGAGAGCAGGAAGAGGCTGCCAGCCGTGATGCCCAGCGAGTGGAGATGAGGGTATGGCAGTTCGTTATCACTCGCACCTCATTGCTTCTCACTCGTACCTCGAGGCTGTTCTTGGAGAGCAGGAAGAGGCTGCCAGCCGTGATGCCCAGCGAGTGGAGATGGGGGTATGGCAGTTGGTTATCACTTGCACCTCATTGCTTCTCACTCGTACCTCGAGGCAGTTCTTGGAGAGCAGGAAGAGGCTGCCAGCCGTGATGCCCAGCGAGTGGAGATGGGGGTATGGCAGTTGGTTATCACTTGCACCTCATTGCTTCTCACTCGTACCTCGAGGCTGTTCTTGGAGAGCAGGAAGAGGCTGCCAGCCGTGATGCCCAGCGAGTGGAGATGGGGGTATGGCAGTTGGTTATCACTTGCACCTCATTGCTTCTCACTCGTACCTCGAGGCTGTTCTTGGAGAGCAGGAAGAGGCTGCCAGCCGTGATGCCCAGCGAGTGGAGATGGGGGTATGGCAGTTGGTTATCACTTGCACCTCATTGCTTCTCACTCGTACCTCGAGGCTGTTCTTGGAGAGCAGGAAGAGGCTGCCAGCCGTGATGCCCAGCGAGTGGAGATGAGGGTATGGCAGTTCGTTATCACTCGCACCTCATTGCTTCTCACTCGTACCTCGAGGCTGTTCTTGGAGAGCAGGAAGAGGCTGCCAGCCGTGATGTCCAGCGAGTGGAGATGGGGGTATGGCAGTTGGTTATCACTTGCACCTCATTGCTTCTCACTCGTACCTCGAGGCTGTTCTTGGAGAGCAGGAAGAGGCTGCCAGCCGTGATGCCCAGCGAGTGGAGATGGGGGTATGGCAGTTGGTTATCACTTGCACCTCATTGCTTCTCACTCGTACCTCGAGGCTGTTCTTGGAGAGCAGGAAGAGGCTGCCAGCCGTGATGCCCAGCGAGTGGAGATGGGGGTATGGCAGTTGGTTATCACTTGCACCTCATTGCTTCTCACTCGTACCTCGAGGCTGTTCTTGGGGAGCAGGAAGAGGCTGCCAGCCGTGATGCCCAGCGAGTGGAGATGAGGGTATGGCAGTTCGTTATCACTCGCACCTCATTGCTTCTCACTCGTACCTCGAGGCTGTTCTTGGGGAGCAGGAAGAGGCTGCCAGCCGTGATGCCCAGCGAGTGGAGATGGGGGTATGGCAGTTGGTTATCACTCGCACCTCATTGCTTCTCACTCGTACCTCGAGGCTGTTCTTGGAGAGCAGGAAGAGGCTGCCAGCCGTGATGCCCAGCGAGTGGAGATGGGGGTATGGCAGTTGGTTATCACTTGCACCTCATTGCTTCTCACTCGTACCTCGAGGCTGTTCTTGGAGAGCAGGAAGAGGCTGCCAGCCGTGATGCCCAGCGAGTGGAGATGGGGGTATGGCAGTTGGTTATCACTTGCACCTCATTGCTTCTCACTCGTACCTCGAGGCTGTTCTTGGAGAGCAGGAAGAGGCTGCCAGCCGTGATGCCCAGCGAGTGGAGATGGGGGTATGGCAGTTGGTTATCACTTGCACCTCATTGCTTCTCACTCGTACCTCGAGGCTGTTCTTGGAGAGCAGGAAGAGGCTGCCAGCCGAGATGCCCAGCGAGTGGAGATGGGGGTATGGCAGTTGGTTATCACTTGCACCTCATTGCTTCTCACTCGTACCTCGAGGCTGTTCTTGGGGAGCAGGAAGGGGCTGCCAGCCGTGATGCCCAGCGAGTGGAGATGGGGGTATGGCAGTTCGTTATCACTCGCACCTCATTGCTTCTCACTCGTACCTCGAGGCTGTTCTTGGAGAGCAGGAAGAGGCTGCCAGCCGTGATGCCCAGCGAGTGGAGATGGGGGTATGGCAGTTGGTTATCACTTGCACCTCATTGCTTCTCACTCGTACCTCGAGGCTGTTCTTGGAGAGCAGGAAGAGGCTGCCAGCCGTGATGCCCAGCGAGTGGAGATGAGGGTGTGGCAGTTCGTTATTACTCGCACCTCATTGCTTCTCACTCGTACCTCGAGGCTGTTCTTGGAGAGCAGGAAGAGGCTGCCAGCCGTGATGCCCAGCGAGTGGAGATGGGGGTATGGCAGTTGGTTATCACTTGCACCTCATTGCTTCTCACTCGTACCTCGAGGCTGTTCTTGGGGAGCAGGAAGAGGCTGCCAGCCGTGATGCCCAGCGAGTGGAGATGGGGGTATGGCAGTTGGTTATCACTTGCACCTCATTGCTTCTCACTCGTACCTCGAGGCTGTTCTTGGGGAGCAGGAAGGGGCTGCCAGCCGTGATGCCCAGCGAGTGGAGATGGGGGTATGGCAGTTGGTTATCACTTGCACCTCATTGCTTCTCACTCGTACCTCGAGGCTGTTCTTGGGGAGCAGGAAGAGGCTGCCAGCCGTGATGCCCAGCGAGTGGAGATGGGGGTATGGCAGTTGGTTATCACTTGCACCTCATTGCTTCTCACTCGTACCTCGAGGCTGTTCTTGGGGAGCAGGAAGAGGCTGCCAGCCGTGATGCCCAGCGAGTGGAGATGGGGGTATGGCAGTTGGTTATCACTTGCACCTCATTGCTTCTCACTCGTACCTCGAGGCTGTTCTTGGGGAGCAGGAAGAGGCTGCCAGCCGTGATGCCCAGCGAGTGGAGATGGGGGTATGGCAGTTGGTTATCACTTGCACCTCATTGCTTCTCACTCGTACCTCGAGGCTGTTCTTGGAGAGCAGGAAGAGGCTGCCAGCCGTGATGCCCAGCGAGTGGAGATGAGGGTGTGGCAGTTCGTTATTACTCGCACCTCATTGCTTCTCACTCGTACCTCGAGGCTGTTCTTGGAGAGCAGGAAGAGGCTGCCAGCCGTGATGCCCAGCGAGTGGAGATGGGGGTATGGCAGTTGGTTATCACTTGCACCTCATTGCTTCTCACTCGTACCTCGAGGCTGTTCTTGGGGAGCAGGAAGAGGCTGCCAGCCGTGATGCCCAGCGAGTGGAGATGGGGGTATGGCAGTTGGTTATCACTTGCACCTCATTGCTTCTCACTCGTACCTCGAGGCTGTTCTTGGGGAGCAGGAAGAGGCTGCCAGCCGTGATGCCCAGCGAGTGGAGATGGGGGTATGGCAGTTGGTTATCACTTGCACCTCATTGCTTCTCACTCGTACCTCGAGGCTGTTCTTGGGGAGCAGGAAGAGGCTGCCAGCCGTGATGCCCAGCGAGTGGAGATGGGGGTATGGCAGTTGGTTATCACTTGCACCTCATTGCTTCTCACTCGTACCTCGAGGCTGTTCTTGGGGAGCAGGAAGAGGCTGCCAGCCGTGATGCCCAGCGAGTGGAGATGGGGGTATGGCAGTTGGTTATCACTTGCACCTCATTGCTTCTCACTCGTACCTCGAGGCTGTTCTTGGAGAGCAGGAAGAGGCTGCCAGCCGTGATGCCCAGCGAGTGGAGATGAGGGTATGGCAGTTCGTTATCACTCGCACCTCATTGCTTCTCACTCGTACCTCGAGGCTGTTCTTGGAGAGCAGGAAGAGGCTGCCAGCCGTGATGCCCAGCGAGTGGAGATGGGGGTATGGCAGTTGGTTATCACTTGCACCTCATTGCTTCTCACTCGTACCTCGAGGCTGTTCTTGGAGAGCAGGAAGAGGCTGCCAGCCGTGATGCCCAGCGAGTGGAGATGAGGGTGTGGCAGTTCGTTATTACTCGCACCTCATTGCTTCTCACTCGTACCTCGAGGCTGTTCTTGGAGAGCAGGAAGAGGCTGCCAGCCGTGATGCCCAGCGAGTGGAGATGGGGGTATGGCAGTTGGTTATCACTTGCACCTCATTGCTTCTCACTCGTACCTCGAGGCTGTTCTTGGGGAGCAGGAAGAGGCTGCCAGCCGTGATGCCCAGCGAGTGGAGATGGGGGTATGGCAGTTGGTTATCACTTGCACCTCATTGCTTCTCACTCGTACCTCGAGGCTGTTCTTGGGGAGCAGGAAGGGGCTGCCAGCCGTGATGCCCAGCGAGTGGAGATGGGGGTATGGCAGTTGGTTATCACTTGCACCTCATTGCTTCTCACTCGTACCTCGAGGCTGTTCTTGGGGAGCAGGAAGAGGCTGCCAGCCGTGATGCCCAGCGAGTGGAGATGGGGGTATGGCAGTTGGTTATCACTTGCACCTCATTGCTTCTCACTCGTACCTCGAGGCTGTTCTTGGGGAGCAGGAAGAGGCTGCCAGCCGTGATGCCCAGCGAGTGGAGATGGGGGTATGGCAGTTGGTTATCACTTGCACCTCATTGCTTCTCACTCGTACCTCGAGGCTGTTCTTGGGGAGCAGGAAGAGGCTGCCAGCCGTGATGCCCAGCGAGTGGAGATGGGGGTATGGCAGTTGGTTATCACTTGCACCTCATTGCTTCTCACTCGTACCTCGAGGCTGTTCTTGGAGAGCAGGAAGAGGCTGCCAGCCGTGATGCCCAGCGAGTGGAGATGAGGGTGTGGCAGTTCGTTATTACTCGCACCTCATTGCTTCTCACTCGTACCTCGAGGCTGTTCTTGGAGAGCAGGAAGAGGCTGCCAGCCGTGATGCCCAGCGAGTGGAGATGGGGGTATGGCAGTTGGTTATCACTTGCACCTCATTGCTTCTCACTCGTACCTCGAGGCTGTTCTTGGGGAGCAGGAAGAGGCTGCCAGCCGTGATGCCCAGCGAGTGGAGATGGGGGTATGGCAGTTGGTTATCACTTGCACCTCATTGCTTCTCACTCGTACCTCGAGGCTGTTCTTGGGGAGCAGGAAGAGGCTGCCAGCCGTGATGCCCAGCGAGTGGAGATGGGGGTATGGCAGTTGGTTATCACTTGCACCTCATTGCTTCTCACTCGTACCTCGAGGCTGTTCTTGGGGAGCAGGAAGAGGCTGCCAGCCGTGATGCCCAGCGAGTGTAGATGGGGGTATGGCAGTTGGTTATCACTTGCACCTCATTGCTTCTCACTCGTACCTCGAGGCTGTTCTTGGGGAGCAGGAAGAGGCTGCCAGCCGTGATGCCCAGCGAGTGGAGATGGGGGTATGGCAGTTGGTTATTACTCGCACCTCATTGCTTCTCACTCGTACCTCGAGGCTGTTCTTGGGGAGCAGGAAGAGGCTGCCAGCCGTGATGCCCAGCGAGTGTAGATGGGGGTATGGCAGTTGGTTATCACTTGCACCTCATTGCTTCTCACTCGTACCTCGAGGCTGTTCTTGGAGAGCAGGAAGAGGCTGCCAGCCGTGATGCCCAGCGAGTGGAGATGGGGGTATGGCAGTTGGTTATCACTTGCACCTCATTGCTTCTCACTCGTACCTCGAGGCTGTTCTTGGGGAGCAGGAAGAGGCTGCCAGCCGTGATGCCCAGCGAGTGGAGATGGGGGTATGGCAGTTGGTTATCACTTGCACCTCATTGCTTCTCACTCGTACCTCGAGGCTGTTCTTGGGGAGCAGGAAGAGGCTGCCAGCCGTGATGCCCAGCGAGTGTAGATGGGGGTATGGCAGTTGGTTATCACTTGCACCTCATTGCTTCTCACTCGTACCTCGAGGCTGTTCTTGGGGAGCAGGAAGAGGCTGCCAGCCGTGATGCCCAGCGAGTGGAGATGGGGGTATGGCAGTTGGTTATCACTTGCACCTCATTGCTTCTCACTCGTACCTCGAGGCTGTTCTTGGGGAGCAGGAAGAGGCTGCCAGCCGTGATGCCCAGCGAGTGTAGATGGGGGTATGGCAGTTGGTTATCACTTGCACCTCATTGCTTCTCACTCGTACCTCGAGGCTGTTCTTGGAGAGCAGGAAGAGGCTGCCAGCCGTGATGCCCAGCAAGAGGTGGAGTGTTGGGCACATGCTAGCTGACCTTCACTTGTTTCCCAGCCCAGGGTTCTCACTCAAAACAAGTCCACTTGGTAAGCTCGCCGGTTAAGTTGGTTGGTTATCGCTCGTACCTCGAGGTTGTTCTGGGAGAGCAGGAGGAGGTTGGCAGCAGTGATACGCAGCGAGTGGAGTGGTCCACTGATCCACTTACCGAAGGCTTGACCCTTGGGGGCCGGGTCCTCACTCAAAACAAGTTGGGTAAGCCGGTTGGTTGGTATGTAGGTTGGTTGGTACCTCGAGGTTGTTCTCGGAGAGCAGGAAGAGGTTGTCTGCAGTTATGCCCAGGCGCTTGGCCCGTGTGGCCAGCTGCTCCTCGCGCTGCAGAGAGGGGGGAGAGGAGGGAGAGAGGGGGAAGGGAAGTTGGAGTGGGGGAAGGGAGGGTGGCTGGGTGGCGGAAGAGGGGAAAGGGGGGCAAAAGGTGCAAGTGCCCTGTTCATTCCCAGTTGCTTAGCAAGTGTGGCCAGCTGCTTGTCATGCTGCAGCGATAGGAGGGAGAAAGGGCACCCCACACACGCAGAGCACAGCGTCTTGAAGTCACCTTAGAAGACAACGCACCACCTGTGCTGTGCTGTGTGCACATAATATCAACAACAACTTTCCTCCCCTGACACACAGCGCACAGCAGCTTTCAGTCGACTAAAAAGGTCACCCCACCACCTGTGCTGTGTGTGCATAACCTCCACCCAAGCCCACTCTTCTGCACACACCACACCACCAGCACAGGGCACCTCCCCCAAGCCCGCCTCCCCCAAGCCCGCCTCTCCACCAGGCTACCTCTTCCCCAGCCCACCTCCTCCCCCCAGCCGACCTCCTCCCCCGACACATAGAGCACAGCGGGTGGTGATCCTCCGGTTTGCAGCAGCAGACAGAACGGCCAGCCACCTTCCACAAGCTCACTTCGCCAGACCTATCTCTTCCCCAGACACATATAGCACAGCCGGCGGGGAGCCTTTTGTTCGTGACAGCAGGAAAACCGGACAGCCACCTCCCCCAAACTCACCTTTCCCAACCCACCTCTCCAAACCCACCTCCCCCAACGCACCTTCTCCCCTGACACATAGTGCACAGCCGGCGGGGAGCTTCCTGTCCGCGGCAGCATGCAAATTGGCCAGCCCCCTCCCTAAATCCACCTCCCCCCACCTACCTACCTCTTCCCCCGACACATAAAGCACAGCCAGCGGGGAGCCTCCTGTTAGCGAGCCTCTTGCCTCCTCCGCCAGCAGCCCTGCCAACTGCAGGGGGGAGATAACAGTATCAATTGGGGGGAAGGGGCATGGATTCAGAAACGGTTATGGCAATGTAACAGCTTTCGCGAGCCTCTTGCCTCCTATGCCAGCAGCCCTGCCAGCTGCATGGGGAGGTAATGGTAACAATTGTTGGAGCGGCATAGAGGCAGTCAACATAATGGCAATGTAAACGGCTTTCGCAAGCCTCTTGCCTGCTCTGCCAGCAGCGTGCCTGCTATTCCCACTTCTACTAGTCATCCCCCGTCTTCCCAGATCACAGCTGGTGCCGCTGCTCCACCTACTGGTCCACCCGCTGCTCCGCCTACTGGTCCGCCCGCTGCTCAGCCCGCTGCTCCACCTGTTCCTCCAACTGCCCCTACTTCTCACACTACCTCTTCCATCATTCCCACTACTTCTACTTCCCGCATTACCGTTTCCATTGCAGGCGCCAATGCTTCGCCAATTCCAACATCGCATGCTACTGCTTCTGCTAGTTCCTCTAGCCATCCTCCTCCTCCTCTCCAGCTATGATGTGGGAAGGAGGATGAGGATGACCAGAGGTAGCAGTAGCAGCAGCATGCGGTGCTGGAATTGACGGAGCATTGGCGCCAGCAATAAAAACGGTAGTGCGGGAGGTAGAAGTAGTGGGAATGATGGAAGAGGTGGTGAGAAAAGTAGGGGCAGTTGGAGGAGGAATGGGTGGAGCAACGGGCTAAGCAACGGGGGGGGGCAGTGGGCGGAGCAGCGGATGGACCAGTAGGCAGAGCAGCGGCACCAGCTGTGATCTGGGAAGACGAGGGATGACTAGTACAGGTGGGAGTAACAACAGCTGCAAATAAAGCAGCAAGTCGTGTAGGAACTGGTGGAGCAATGGAAACTGTAGTGTGGGGGAGGTAGGGGCATTGGGATTGATGAAAGAGATAATGAGAAAGTAAGGGCAGTAGGATAAGAGAAAGAGAAGATGAAGTATGTGAAATAGATCATTTCTAATGTTAGGGTGCCCCTTGCCTCCTCTGCCAGCCAACAGCCCTGGCAGCTGCAGGTTGTGGAAAGTGGAACAATTGAAAAGGAGGGGCAACGGGGCATACACATGAAGACAGAGCAGTAACAGTTGCAGGGACGGTAACAGTTGAGGAAGGGGCATACAGTTAGTCAAGGTTATGGCAATGTAACAGCTCAGCAAGCCCCTTGTTGCATCCACCGCGAGCAGCCCTGCCAGCTGCAAGGGGGTGGTGTTAACGGTAACACTTGGGGAAGGGGCATAGAGTTAGTCAGAGTTATGGCAATGTAACAGCTTCGCAAGCCTCTTGCATGCTCTGTCAGCAGCCCTGCCGGCTGTAGGTCTGGGAAAGAGGTAACAGATGGGAAGGGTCATGCATATTGTTAGGGTTACAAAGTAACGGGTTTTGCAAGATCCTCGCCTCCTGTGCCAGCAGCCCTGCCAGCTGCCAGTGATGGGCCGGGCCATGCATATCAGGGCCACGATGTAAAAGCTGCTTCTGTTAGGCCAATACCTCTTCTGTCACCAAGGGGCGCTAACATCTGGAAAGGGTCGTGTCATGCACATAAGGCCTACAATGTTACAGATTTTGCAAAATGCCAGCCCTCGCTGCCAGTTGCAGGATGGGTACCGTTGGTAAGGGTCATACATATCACGGTTACAATGTAACGGCTTCTGCAAGCTTCCTGCGTCCTTCCTGCACATACAAACCTGGGAGGGAACAGCCATGAGGGCTAAGGAGGAGCGGGGAAGGAGTGGAAAGGGAGTACACATTGGTGAGTAACAAATTGATTGTTTGGAAAGGCACCTGAAGCAAGAACGAACATGTCTGGAAATTCACCTGAAGCAGGAGAGTGCTCTTCCCAGCACCTGGGCTGCCAGACACGAGCACCAGCGAACCTGGCAGGAAGAAGTGGAGCGAAAGTGTTGGGATTGAAAACAAGACATAAAAAAAAGGCATTGAGCTATGCAAAGATCCAAAAATAAACTACTACCAGGCACAAACAAGCACCAGAGAGAATATGCTGGTATCAAGAAGTGACGTCATCTACTTTGACCCACCTTTCCAACACGGGCACCCCCTTCTCTTCTCCGCCTCACTCTTTCCTCCTCCAACACACGTACAAGAAAATGCTTTAACACACACATTACTCTCTCACTCTCATCCCACCACCCACATTCACCCACTTAATCTCATCCCCACCCCACCCACAATTACCCAATCATCTCATCCCACTGCCCACACTCACCCACTCTCACCCACACTCACCCAGCACAACCCCTCCGCCCAGCACTCTGCAGATTTCCTCGCCCTCCGGCCCCTTGCTGTCACAGGCACAGGCGCAAGCAAGAACAGCCATGCAGAGACAGGCACCGGCACGCAGAGAGAGCACGCAATGCAAAGACAAGGTGATCTATGGATGAATGAAAGGAGGGCACAGATAGTGGATGGGAGTGTGGCGAGCTGCAAGGATCAAGAGGTGCTGGGCTTCATGCATAAGTACATGCTATGGTGAAGCAAATAAAGCTGTCTTCAAGAGAAGTGAACCAAGCCGTGGTAAAGTGAACAATGACATTTGGGAAGTGAAGGATACTGATTGATGTCCAGCCACATGCACTTTTTGGGTTCCGAAGGGAACGAAGGGAAGGGAACGAGTGCGTGCCAGGTGTCGCCAGCTGATTTGACCACCTTTAAGGCGCCCCAAAAGCACAATCCGTGCACGCACGCACTTGCTGCTTACAGTGACAAGTGCCAGCTGTCGCCAGCTGATTCGATGACCTCTTGTAGCGGCCGCGCCCGTGGCCTGCTGCTGCTCAGAAGCAGACTGCTGCTGCTGCCGTAACCACTGCTGCTGCTGCTACTGCTGCTGCTATAACCACTACCACTTCTCCCGTTGTTATTCACCCAGCCACCAAAACCACTCCCTCTTGACCTTCTCGTCCTGCTGTACTGCTCACTGTTACCCTCCCCCTCTTCCCGTTCCTCCCCTTCCTCGCCATCCTCCTCCTCCTCCTCACCGTCCTCCTCCTCGTCCGGCTGCTGATGCACTGCACCTGGCCGCATTGATCCAGTGCTGCGACCACCAGTGATGTGACCGCCAGTGCCGCTAACACCACCAGCGTCTGTTCGAGGATATGCTCTCCTCACTCCACTGCTACCAGTGCCACTGCTACCACTGCTACTACTGTTACCACTGCCACCACTGCTACCATTCCTGCTCGCTCCGTCTGCTCTTCGCCTCTTCGGATCTTCCCTGCCCCCCAGGCTACCCGCGTTCCCTCTAGACCGTTCAAATGCGCGGATTGCTGGCCCCCCGCCTCCACCCCCGGAGCCTGGCTCATCGTCGGTCACCGTGAATCTTTTCAAGCTGCCAAGCGCGCCACAGGCGGAACAGTCACCCCACCACTGCTTGCTCTCGTTTCCGCACTGATCGCACACGTACACCACCTTGTCTCGCTTCTTTTTTATGGGCTGCCCGAATCCCCCGGTGGCAGCCACAACAAACCGTGAAGCTGCCCGTACTTGAAGTGTACATAGCCGTGACGGGGGTGCAGCAGGAAACGTCAGTAGCGGCTGCACGAACAGCTGGTGCTGCTGCCAGTGCTGATGTCCGCGATTGTTTGTGAGCGAGCTATTACTTTGGTGTGAATGCTGCTGTTTCAGATACTCACCCGGCAGACATAAAAGCGACTTCCGTTTTCCTTGATCTGAATGAATCTGCTGCCTCGATCTGTTGCTCGCCTGTGATATTACACGGTTAACGACGGCACGTTTCGCTGATCTTTTAAAGAGAGTGATACTGTCGGGAGGGTGGCAAACTGTTCGCAAGAACGAAAGCCTCGTTGATATCGAGTGAGCGAGGGATATCATGCTGACGGTATAGATGATTGTTATTCGATAATCCTGTTGATGAGCTATCGGAATCAGTGATGAATCTTTGTGAATCCGAGCAGAGGCGCCTCGGAAACTGCAACTTACAGTTCAACTCACGAGCGCACTATGTACGGGACAACACGAATGGAAGTTGATAGTAAACTCATCCAAACTGAATCGAGTTTCCTTCTCCAACGTATAATTTTCATTTGAGCAGGTGTGGATTCCACTGTAAGAAACGTCTATAACGAGTACAGCGAATTTGTTGATTTCGAGGGGAATGAGAAATTCATCCATGTGCGTTTTGCTAGAAGCCCTGGTGCTGTGTTCCGAAGCAGTCATACTTAGGACGCGGCACCTGTTTTCATTTTGCCAGGATCGATCTTGGGAGGGGATCGATGTGCCGCTTGTACAGTGTATTGGCGACATCGCCAATGCCTGGTATCCTTTTTTCGCTGAACTTCGAGAAGGTACCCTGGCACCTGCAGCTCGCACGATCGATGTGCCGTGGTGCATGCGTTAGGGTTGGCGGGAGAGCATATCGCGCCACAGGTGACAGCCTCGATCGATCGGCGTCGCCCACGGTCGCAGGCCAAAAATTCTTGAGTCGCTGCGAATGGAATTGCTGGACGACCATCCACGCTCTGCCCTGATTGGCTGCGCGTTTAAGTGTAATGGCAGCTCCAGCCTGCCCGAGCCTGCAATTTCGACCCTGGAACCTATAGCTCGATGTGTCTACCCCACTGCAAATTTGCAGTGTGGGCACATCGGTTTGCCGATCGATATGCCAGGATCGATGTGAGGTCACGATCCTTGTAAAATGAAAACAGGTGCCGCGTCCTTAGGACCTCGTCTTGAACGTCAGACTTCCAGTGAGCACGCGTCAACATCAAGGAACGGGGAGCGTTGTTTCAGCGTGTGTTTCTTGTGCTGAGCGCATACATGCCTCGAGCGAGCCTATTGTCATTCTCAAGAAGATGCTAAGAGACCATGAGATGTGTTTCAAGTCGGACAGGAACTGTTATATGTCGGCGAATGCCATCTGTCGCACGGTCAGAATGTGCTGTCGTCGCGTCTGTCGCCGAGTCAGCGAGGATCTGTACGGTTCAGCATCATTCGTCGCCGCGGGACCCTTATTCCCACTGTACCATCGTTCATTACAAAAACGAAAAAGTACTTCTCGCATTTTTGAAAAAGTGCACTTGGATCACTCAGGGGTAGTTCCTGCTGCGTCGCACTCCTTCGCACTTCGTCGCACAGCATGGCTCTTCTCGCACTCCTCACTCATCAGGAGAGAGTGAACGCATTAAGCGTCTTCGTTCTCCTAGCTCCGAGTCTCGCGATCCTGTGTCTCGTCGTCGCCATTTTCTGGCTGCTCGGAGTGTACAGGCAGAAGATAGGCTATGGTCCTCCCGCATGGCCAATCCTCGGCACGCTGCCTGAAATGTTACTGGCGTTTCCGTATCTTTACGACTGGGCGACAGCATATCTCGAGGTAAATCCTCTAGCTTGTTCCGTAACAGCTTCTGCCGTGGCATTGCTCTTCAGGCGACCATCATCATAACCTGGGCGAATGTTGATCCTGATCAGGCTAGTCCCACGATGACCTACATCTCGCTAGCACCTGGCCTCAACGAAGTCGTCACTGCAAACCCTAAGAACCTCGAGCACATTCTCAAGACCAATTTCGCCAACTATCCTAAGGGTCCGAACTTCCAGGTATGTACAAAATGGTCATTTAGGCAATTTATGGCAGTCTTTTGTAAGCCATTGCTGACTAAAGGCAAAAACAAACTTCAAAATAAAAAAAATGCATCAGACCAACTTCGAAGACCTTCTTGGGCACGGCATATTCAATAGCGACGATGACGTGTGGAGGCAGCAGCGCAAGACTGCCAGCCTCGAGTTCTCCCAGAGGTCACTGCGAGACCTCATGATAGTGTCCATCCAAGAAGAGCTCCTCCAACGCTTCATCCCTACCCTAGAAGTGGTGCGTGAGACAAGGCGCTGGAATTCTTGGGTACCAGGGAATGGCTGGACAGAAATTCCTTGATTGATTCATAGTGAGCATAACTTCTTCCGATGCTGGCTTTGGTGATGTTAAGCAGGCCGCTATGACGAGAACGCCGGTCGACCTGCAAGATATTCTGCTGCGGTACACCTTTGATAACATCTGCAGGATTGGGTTTGGTGTTGACCCTGGTTGTCTTGAGCCGGGCCTTCCTGAAGTCCCGTTTGCACGAGCATTCGACGAGGCCACAAAGGTATAGATGCCTTTAACTGATCTACAACTGTTTGTTGCCATAATTGTCAATCTTCTAATCATTAGCGTTTGATTATTTCTTCAGGCAACACTTTACAGAAACTTGATTCCTGAGTTTGTATGGAAGGCATTCAGGTTCTTTCGTTTATTCCAAGAGGGAACGCTTCACGCTGCTGTGAAGGTATGTCCAAACGCGAAGTCCCTCCTTCAATTTGGTCTGGGTTTTTCGCTCAACACCCCTTACATTCTGTTCATGTGTGCTGTTTGGTTCCAGGAAATCGATTCTTTTGCAGAAGATGTTATTAGAAATCGGCGCACTGAGTTGGCAAGCGAAAAGAAACAGCAAGCAGTTGATGGTGCTGTGACTGACCATTCAGATATTCTCTCCAGGTGAATACATCTTTTTACGCTGTAGCTTGAAGGGTCTCTGTGATGTGTACCAACTCTTTTGTGTATATTCGATCTGTCTGCAGGATGATGCTTCTTGAGAAGGATGATGGCGGTCAGCTGTACTCCGAAAGGTTCCTTCGGGATGTGTGCACGAATTTCATTCTTGCTGGAAGAGATACTTCGTCTGTCCTCATGACCTGGCTCTTCTGGCTGCTGACATGGCACCCTACTGTGGAAGAAAAGATCCTGGCGGAAGTACAATCAATTGTTGCTGCACGTGAACGTGGGTAATCTACTGCAATGTGTTTGAGGTGAACGATTGCTGATTGCACTTGCTTGTAATCCCACATGGCTGAGGTGTGACTTGTTGACTGCTGCTTTTCCAGGTGACAAGAGCTTTGGTGCATTTACCTATGAAGAGCTGAAGCAGATGAAGTATGTGCATGCAGCAATTGCCGAGTCACTTCGGCTCTATCCATCTGTCCCAGCGGATTTCAAGTGAGTTCAACCCTACTGCACTGGTGTTGCTGTAGCAGACTTCTCTAATGAAACGCTTTTCTCACAAGCTTGCTTGTTTTTCAATTATGTGCAGGCACGTTGTGAAGGATGACGTGCTTCCCGATGGGACCCACGTCAAGAGTGGTTGGCGGGTGCAGTATGAGCTCTATGCAATGGGTCGCATGACTCGCATTTGGGGGCCTGATGCAAGAGAATTCAAGCCAGAGCGGTGGTTTGATAGCAATGGCGAACTTATCAATGAATCGCCTTTCAAGTTCCCGGCTTTCAATGCTGGGCCGCGCCTCTGCCTTGGGAGAGACCTTGCCTATCTTCAGGTACTGAACCTCTTCCTGCTGTTACTACTTGATTCCCTGCTGTTGATACTTGATCTATGTCCAGCATTTTCTGGTTCATCAGCCTTAGCATGCCTGATCTGAAACATAACAATGGTGCTGTGTGAATGCGCAGATGAAATCTATTGTCGCCAGCACAGTTCGTCTTTTCCGGCTTGCGCTTGTGCCAGGCCACAAGGTTGAATACAGCATGTCGCTTACTCTCTCCATGACCAACGGACTAAAGGTCTTTGTGACTTCCAGGTGAAGTGGAAATCGCCTATGTGAAATACGGGTGGCTGCTTGGCACACAGCCGTTTCATCATTAATTAGCGGCTTCAATAAATGCAATGCAGCACATGGGTTATCCATGTTGGCCAATTTCTGAAAATCATACAGGAAGCATTCACCTGCTGTGATTGTGAAGTGTATGGAACTAAAGCAACAGACCTGATATACTGGTACACCCCCGGATATTCAACTTTTATGTTTTGGGTTGTATTGATGCATGCATTAGAGAGTATAGGTTGTTAGGGTTTGCATTTGTACCCACCTCTGTTAGAATTTAGTGAGAAGGATGAAGGATTAGGTAAGGGGATGTCAGATGTTATAGTCTTAGTGATGTGTGTCATATGGGGTACAACAGTTAGGGTCAGGGCCTCAGATATCAGGAAAAAAACCCTGAAATTCCTGATTTTGACAGCCCT